TGGCAGCTTGTCATAATTTCTTCCTATGTTGTTTCCATGTGCCAGGTGTATACAACACAGCTGCTGACAGTTTGTCTCGCTTTAAATTTCAGGAGTTTCATCAAGCACTCCCGTCAGCAGCACCCACAGCCACCATCACTCCAACATTTCAACAACTCATACTGGACTAGACGTCATCATGCAGCATAGCAGGACATTGTCTCAGTTGGCACTTTCACACAATACAAACAAAACATACAACAGGGCTTTCACACTATTCAAACGATTCCTTCTGGAACATAACATCATACAACCGTTTGTTATGACATCTTTTTGGGGTTTGCTTCCTTTTGCCACCTTAAACTCAAATTGTCATATAACACCATCAAACTCTATCTCACTGGCATTCAACACCACATGCTCATCTTACACCCAAATAACAACAGTTTCATGGCCTCTCACCAAATTAAGACCATACTCAGAGGTATTCAAAAATCAGAACCCACACATTTGGCCCAGAGGCTACCCATAGATAACCATATCTTCAAAGCTTTATCTAACCTACTCGACCTGAAACCGTTTGACACTAATACGAATTCTATCATCAAAACAGCAATATACATCGCTTTCTATGGATTTCTACGACCCAGAGAATTCACTACGACCTCCACGACCCAAACCACTCCATTCCTCCTCTATTCCCACTTGACAAAACATATGGATCATTACATCCTGTCTTTACCTCACTCCAAAACCAGCCAGCACATACCTGTAAACATTCCGTACTACCCCACGCACAACAGATGGTGTCCCGTAAAAGTTCTTGATGCCTACATACAGCACCATCACTTACTGCCCTCGCAACCGTTATTACAACTACAAGGTGCAGTACTCACCACTACAACCTTCATGACCTACGTCAGGTCCTTGCTCACACAACTGGGCCTCAACGCAAACAATTACTCAGGACACTCCTTTCGTATAGGAGCCGCGTCCACAGCCTCCAGTTTCAACGTCCCAACTCATGTTATCAAAATAGCCACTCTCACTTCCTTCATGTTATGGTTATAGTGCAATTTTCTCTGAAGTGTATTTTCAGCAAAAAAGCCATAAAGCACAGGTCTCACAACAGCATGGACCTTTTCTCGTGTAAATTCAGACCCCTACAGTTAAGGGAAGTAATTTGCAGTGGAAGCTGTGTACGTGGCATGGCGTCTAGTTGGAAAGCAGTTTTGTAGTGAATTATGAAGGGTGACATGGGGGTGGAGAGAGGAAAAAACCAAAAAACAGATGGTGTGCTAGAAAAAGTGTGTAAATAAACCGTGCAGTGGTAAACTATTTACAATAGTGTATGAAACCTGTCTGTATGTCCATTATGGTTCGCCATCCCCGTGTACACCCTCTCCCTATCCCTGGGGAGATAGTTTGAGCTTCAGACACCCTCTGGTGGTAAGTGGCTTGGCAGCCCCTAGAACATCCAACGTGAAAGGCTGGTCAATATGTAATCCAGTCTTCCTTCCTGATAATTCTCTATATGCTTATTTAGCTTCTATCCTGTTTGTTTATAGTTTTCGTTATGGTGACATAACAACAAATTTTTCCTTTTCTCTCTTTTCCTTTTCCCTCACTCTCCCCTTCCCTCCTCCTCTCTCTCCATTTATATAAAAATAGTTCCCCCCTAACCTTCTCTTTATAGAGAGGTGTTCTCTTCCCTCCCCCCTTTTCCTCACACCTCATTGCTTCTCCCTACACCACTACATCCATATGTGTGGCCTGAAAAAACAGAGCTGCCATGCACCAACTCAAGCCAACCCCTCCTTCATCAGTCCCTTGCAAATTGTGTAATCATGTGGGAGCTTAGAGTCCCTATAGCCATCGTTGCTGTAGTGTGTAGCCTGACAGCTAAGTCTCCCCTCTTGCTTCCCTTGAACATTATGCTGTTTTGTTTACCCCCAAACACACCAAAATCAGTAGCCACATCGCGAAACCTGAGATTATATAATCAGAACACAAACACCCCCCCCCTTCCCTCTGCTGTGTGAGAGAAACGTAACTTTAAAGAAAAATAAAATAGCTTAATTTTGTACTTTTCTCAGGATTTGAATTTGATACCTCATATCTAGTCATACTCAATTCAAATACATTCTCAGTCCCCACAAGGAGTTCACCTGAGTGTTCTATTTGCAATCAGACAAGGTCAGTGAAAGTGAAAACTGCCCTAACAGTTCTTAATAATTTAAAAGTATTTAAGCAGGTTGAGTACGTTTAACTTATCATAGTTGCAACAAACTAAGAAAGAATACCTTCTCTGCCCAAGAATGGCAGTGGGATCTCTGCTTTCATCAAGAAGCTGTTAACCCACATATTAAATATTATATGTCTGAATATTATTTTTTTTGCAATTATTCACCCAGTCGCTGTTTAACCCCTTAAGGACACATGACATGTGTGACATGTCATGATTCCCTTTTATTCCAGAAGTTTAATCCTTAAGGGGTTAAACATCTGTAGTCTGATAAAATCACCTATTCAGGCAGAGAATACTGCATTTTATTGTTTTTACCCTTTCCTTTGCCTTAGACTAAATCTCTTTTCTTCCAGTCTAAATAGGTGACAGTGTACAGTCCTATTTATGAATAGATTTCCAGACAATGGTTTGTATGGGCCATGGATATACTAATATAATGTCATCATATCCCCTCTGAGGTGTCATTTTTCTAAACTGAACAGATTTAAATTTTATATTCTTCTTTCATAACTAAAATCTTCCATTCCTCTTATTATTCATGTATCCTGCCTCTACACTTTATCTATAGCCAGAACAGGTGACCAATTGCACACAGATACCTCAAATTACATGCTAGCATGCATGGTAGTGTTTGGGACAAGAATCTTCATTATCCTATCCTATCTTACCTCCTTCTTTACCTACCTTGTCTCCATGATGTGTGTGCCACTGATAGTTACGTTGTGTCATTCTTAAAATCCACCTAACGCCTAAAGTAATGTGTATAGTCTATACACTTACTTTTGGCATGAGTTAAAATGTTCGCCTGATAGTGAGGCCATTTAGGAGCCCTTAAACCATGTTCCGGTATACCATTTAATAGGCATTTCCATAATGCCTATTAATAGTGTGATTTCCCTTTTTAAGATTCCAGTGGAATTATTATACATTATGTATTTCATCAATAAGGATTACATAAGGACAGTATGGATGTAATTAGCAAGAAAAATACTGTAAAATGTTACGTGACAATGTTTATTTGCCCTTTGTGTTAAAAAAACTGTGTAGAATATTTGAACATTGGAAGATTTTCTGTGTGAGGGGGAGGGCACTCTATTTTGTATTTTTTATTACTACTTTCTTTTTGTTCTTTTAAAATTTTGAACTCAGGGCAACCGACCCTGTTGCCCCCATGCTATGCCACTGATTCCTAATGCTATAATGCCTTGTTGGCTGTATAGGTCCCCAACCCCCACCCGTTAGGAGCAATACACCCTGTTTCAAATTATTATGCAAATAATATTTTTCTCATTTACCTAAATAATTGATGTAAATAACAGCATAATTCTCATGTTATCAACTATTAAGAGTACAATTCAAATTGTATTGAGCAAACCTCCTAATGATAACATAAAAAACTTACAATGCACTGTTCAAAATTATTACGCACAGTAAATTTCAAAACACTTTCTAGGTTGTAAAGAACTGAAAATTGTCATTTGTTGTGTTTCCAGCATATTTACTGAAATCAAAAGCTATTTCAATCAAACTTATAACAACATTTTAACTTTTTAAACATTTTAACAGGTAACATTACATTTTAACATAGGACCCCCTATTTGATAGCAACTTCACAAGTTTTGCATCCATTGAACTTGTGAGTTTTTGGACAGTTTCTGCTTGAATTTGTTTGCAAGATGTCAGAATAGCCTCCCAGAGCTGCTGTTTGGATGTAAGCTGCCTCCCACCCTCCTAGATCTTTTGCTTGAGGATGCTCCAAAGGTTCTCAATAGGATTGAGGTCAGGGGAGGATTGAGACCACACCATGACATTCTCTCCTTTTATCCCCATAGCAGCCATTGATGCAGAGGTATTCTTTGCAGCATGAGATGGTGCATTGTCATGCATGAAGATGACGGAAAGCATAGTTCTTCCTTCTGTACCAGGGAAGAAAGTGGTCATTCAGAAACTCCACATACTTTGCAGAGGTCATATTTACAGCTTCGGGGACCCTAAAGGGGACGACCAGCTCTCTTCCTATGATTCCGGCCCAAAACATGACTCCACCACCGCCTTGCTGACGTCGCAGTCGTGTTGGAACAGGGTGGTCGTCCACCAACCATCCACTACTCCATCCATCTGGACCATCCAGGTTTGCACGGCACTCATCAGTGAACAGGATTGTTTGAAAATTAGTCTTCATGTATTTTTCTGCCAAATGCAGCCGTTTCTGCTGGTGAGCATTGGTTAGTGGTGGCCAAAAAAGGTTTATGCACAGTTGCAAGACTCTGGAGGACTATACACCTTGATGTCCGTGGGACTCCAGAAGTACCAGCAGATGGAAATATCTGTTTGCTGCTATGTAATGGTATTTTAGCAGCTGCTCTCTTGATCCGATGCATGGATCTGGCAGAAATCTTCCTCAATGTGCCTTTATCTGCATGAACCCATCTGTGCTCTGAATCAGCCACAAATCTCTTAATAGTGCGATGATCATGCTTAAGTTTTCGTGAAATATCTAATGTTTTCATACCTCGTCCAAGGCATTGAACTATTTCACTCTTTTCGGCAGCAGAGAGAGATCCTTTTTCTTCCCCATATTGCATGAAAATAGTGCTCTGCTTAATAATGTGGAACACCCTGCTTTAACAGTTTTTCCTTAAATTGGGCTCACCTGGCAATCTAATTATCACAGGTGTCCGAGATTGTTTTCAGTGATTAAAAGAGCCCTGAGACACAATGCCATCCATGAGTTAAACTGAAAAACAAAATATTTAATCTTTGTGACACTTAAATATAATTTGCATAATAATTTGGAACAGGGTGTAAAGCCATTTTACTTACCTTTTCTCCCTCGTTGCATGGTATCCGCACTGCCATCCATCTTCCTTGGCTGAGATCATCAAGCACTATAATCTCAGCTGAAGTGCAGCTAGTGGCTGTTTGAGTGGTACTTAAACCCTGCAATGAAAACATTGCCAAGCTGCATAATGGGTAATCTCCTATGTCCCTTAATTTTAGCCAAATAACTAACCTTATAAAACCCTCTCTAACCCAACGTTCCCCTTGAAATAAATAACAAAGACACCATGTTGGGAGGTAAAGCCATCGCTGGCTGCATTTATTGAATACATCACTGGCATCATGGCAGAAAAACCATTCAAACAGAACGGCCGTAAAATATAAATAGTAACCAAATTTTGCCATGCTGGCGGCGCTGAGAGCTAGACTCCTCAGCCCACAAGAGGATGCGGCTCAACCTAATCCTGCAGCGTTACACCCGTTGCATCTGCCCAAGCAGAGGCATAAGGACAGTAAGGGAGAATCTTTGGCACAGCCACCTTGAATGCATACTGCAGGTGGGCGCCCCAGCCAGGCGACTGCCCAAAAGGGGGTAAAGCCCGGCCTCCTTGCTGATGTCACTCCCGCCTTCTCTCTCTGCACCACGCCCTAAAGCCGCACCCTCACACCACAAGAGATATAATCTCTAACCGCCAAACAACAGCCCTTATAAATAATTTATTTTATTTTTTTGTGGCCCGGTTTAGACCCGGGGCTCCAGAGCCTCATGAAAGTCAGCCAGAAAAAGGTCCATACCAGCAGCTCTTAGGTGGACCCCATCAGGCCTAAAAAGCCCAACTTGGTCGGCAGAAATGCCTGGATGCCTAATGATGAACCCGTGCTGCTCAGCAACAGCCTGACCTACCAGCCTATTAAGTTTCTTACGAGCCCTGTAAGTGGCACCCAGAGAATAAAACCTGCTCCACTTAAACCTGGGCAACACATTGGCCCACGCGATGCTCAAGCCGGGTAACCAAGCAGAAAGCCAGCGGAGATCTGAGCAGACAACCCGAGCTAAGTCTAGCACTGGAACAGACCCCAAATCATTTTCCCTGAGATGGAGCACCTGGATGTGCGGACTCCCCCATAAACCTCGAGCCTCCTACAGCATCACTAGGAGAGCAAGCCAGCAAAACCTGTGTTGTCCCAACCAGCGGACACACACAGGAGAGAGTGGGTACCAAAGAGCCTGGCCCAGCTATGAGGAGAGTGCGTGCAATAAAGCCCAGTGGATAAAGGAGTGACCCACTAGCCAAACACAGGGGGGGGGGGGGAGCAGCTCCTAAAAGGAAAGCAGAGTGAATAAATGGAAACAAATCAGGTAACACTTCAACCTACGCAGCAGATAGTGGCCTAACACATAACTTGCACCTCTGCGACCTCATCTGCCATAAGCGATGAAGTACGTCAGAGGGGTGGCCCAGCGAAGCTGCACAAGTTGCAATGCCAATCTTTAAAGAATGGGAGGTGAAATGGCAGTCACACAACCCCACCTGACACACCGCTAAGCTCAAAACTCTAGTAAACTGAAAACGCAACAACACTGAACCATCCGCGTGGACTAGAAACTGGGCGCAGTTTAGGGGACGCAAGCTAGTTAAGGAACTAACAAGTTGCACTGGTCAAAGAGAGCTACCTGCCAAGGCAGGCATGGACACCCACGTACCTCGTCCCTCTTGGTCAGACTTGGAACGGGGAATGAACAGCAAAACTACCTGAGGTGAAAGGGAGACATGAGTAGCTTGGATCCCACGGCCCACCACCCTTGATGACGGAGCTACCAGTTTCCCCACTCGGAGCGCTCCATGAAAAGCCAGGCCAAACGCTGTCTGAAAAAGAGCGACCTCAAATGCAGAAGAACAAACTAACGGTAAAGCAAGCAGAAACTATATCAGAGGAGCAGGGGTTATGGGTTCCCGAGTGTGCGTAGGACGAGGCTCTGACCTATACAACCTTTGAGAACCTGCCTAGCCATGAAAAACCTAGAAGGATCTGGCTTACCTGCAAATCTCAAAAAAGAAGGAAAGGGCAGCGAGCTTGATCCCCACATAGCTCTAGAAAGGCCACAGGAATGCAAAGTAGCCAGCCAACTCAAAACCGCCCCTGGGAGGCCGCCACATCACGAACCCCGATACCCATAGAGAAACTGACCCATTCGCCCCAGCAGCGGATGTACGACCTCCAAGTTTGAGGGGCCAGCGAAGCTCTCACCAAGGGGAAAAGGAGCTTCTATTGTCCATCTGCCAGAGAGAGGGAGGACAATCAGCCCTGAGCTGCCGCTGATGGAGCAAGGGATCTAAAAAGATCCCACTGAAAACGTGACAAAGCATCCGCCAGTATATTATTGACCCCGGGAACATGGCAAGCTGCAAAGCGAATGTTATTTTGCAGGCACCTAGAACTAGCAAACAGAGCAACTTAATCACAAGTGGAGAAGAGGCCGACAACCAATTGATGGTGTGAACCACCGACTGGTTGTCAGTCCAAAAAACGACTGACCGGTTGTGGAAACGCACACACCACAACTCCACTGCCACCAGTATGGGGCAAAGTTTCAGTAGAGTAAGGTTTCTCTTAAACGATCACTATAGGGTCAGGAACACAAACATATGTTCCTGACCCTATAGTGTTAAAACCACCCTTTAGCCCCGATGGGCCCCTCATGCCTCCATAAATATAGTAAAAATCTTACTATATTCAAGCCAGAAGCTGTAACTCTGCATGCTGTTAGACTCAGAAAAACAAACAGTGAGCTGACATAATCAGAAGTGGTAGCCTGATCCAATCACAATGCTTCTCCATAGGATTGGCTGAGACTGACAAAGAGGCAGATCCGGGACAGAGCTAGCATGATTCAAACACAGCCCTGGCCAATCAGCATCACCTCATAGAGATGAATTGAATCAATGAATCTCTATGAGAAAAGCCCCCCACTGCCATTATACCCCCAACCTCCCTGCCATTATAATCCCCCCTGCTCTATACCCCCACCTCCCTGCCATTATAATCCCCCCTGCCCTATACCCCCACCTCCCTGCCATTATAATCCCCTGCCATTATATCCCCACCTCCCTGCCACTATAATCCTCCTGCCCTATACCCCCCACCTCCCTGCCATTTATAACACCCCTGCCCTTTACCCCCACCCCTACTGCCAGTATACCCCCACCCTCCCTGCCATTTATAACCCCCTGCCATTATACCCCCCATCCCTGCCATTTATAATCCCCCCTGCCCTATACCCCACCTCCCTGCCATTATAATCCCCCCTGCCTTACACTCCCATATCCCTGCCATTATAATCCCCCTGCCTATACCCCACCCCTCCCTGCCATTTATAACCCCTACCCCATCTGCCATCTCCCCACCCTCTTCCCCACCCCACACCACCTGCCTTATACCCCACCTCACTGCCATTATAACCCCCCTGCCATTATACTCCCACCCCTCCTGCCCTATACCCCCACCTCACTGCCATTATAACCCCAGAGCAGCCACCAAATGGTGAGACAGATCCTGCTGATCCTGCACCCTCCTAAATGGTAAGGTACTACTATAACCCCACCCCCACCCCCTGCCCTATATCCTCCACCCTCCCTGCACTATACCCCCACCCTCCGTGCCATTATACCCCCACCCTCCCTGCCCTATTCCCCCATGCAATATCACACAATAAGTCCCAGACCCCAATCTACTCCGACCCACCCAGGCACATACAACTGTTCCCCTATTGTCACATAGACACATTACACACAGGCTCACATTCACAAATTACATATGCAGTCACACACAATGCACATAGATACGCTGTCACAAACACATTTTTTTACACAAGGACAGATATATTCTGGGAGGCAGTGAGGTTAGTGCGCGCCCTGCAATGAACCGGCAGCTGGGATAAGATGTCATCCTGGCATCGGCATCACTACTGGGAGCACAAGTGAGCTGTGCAGGAAGAGCACCCAGCCCAGCAGCAACCGCTAATCACCATGGGGAAGATCCAAGAGCAAGGTAGGGAAACTGGGTGGACCTCTTAATTACTAAATGTGTGTAAGAATATGATTTTTGTGTGTGTCTGTGATTGTGTGTTTCTCTGTCATTAAGTGTGTATTTATTGTGATTGTGTGTCTGTGATTAAGTGTATGTCTGTGATTGTGTGTGTATTTATATACACAAACAACCACAGATGTACAAGTCTCTGTGTATATATCTGTGGTTGTGTGTGTATATAAATGTGTATGTGTTTAGTAGATAGCTCCCTTATTTGGTGTCCTTAAATATGTCAATCCCACATAAGGATAACAAATAAGGGAGTTATTTGCTAAACAACTGAAAGATTTAAATTAAGTAAAAGGCTTTTAAATTTTGATCTTTTAGCAGTTTAGTACATAATTCCCTGAATTAATGCTCTTATGTGAGATTTCCATATTTAAATATGCTAAATTAGGGTGCTCTTTAGATCTAAATATGGCAATCTCACATAGGGATATCAAATAGAGGCGTTATCTGCTAAAAAAGATCGAAGTTTAGAGGTGTCAGCCAGCGCAGAACAGGAAATCTGGGTGGCTAGTATGAATTCTATGCAAATGTGTTGTCTGATTGTGTGTATATGTATATGTGCATACATCTTAGCATTTTGCCAACACTACACACAAGCACACCACTGTATTCAAACAACACTACAAACAAACACACCTTTGTATTAAAACATCACCATTAGATATAACCACACCACTGCATCTCACCAACACTACACACAAATGCATGCCTGCATTCAAACGCCAACACTACACACCCCTACATTCACTCACACATTTTCCATACAAAAACACATGCTTACATTTAGATGCACAAACACTGCTCAGTGCTACATTTATTTTAAAAAAATTGGGGTGTTTTTTTTTACATTTTAAGGTGGTGGTGGTGGGGGGTGCCCTAAGGAGGATCCACCCCGGCTGCCAAATGCTCTGGGTACACCCCTGGTGGAGACACTGAATGTTTGGATGCATTATAGGCAGCCATGACCCAGAAAGGATCTCTAACAGCATTCTGAGAAGTGGCCAGTGAAGTTATCACTAGGCTGTAATGTAAACACTGCATTTTCTCTGAAAAGACAGTGTTTACAGCAAAAAGCCTGAAGGTAATGATTCTACTCACCAGAACAAATTCAATAAGCTGTAGTTGTTCTGGTGACTATAGTGTCCCTTTAAGGCCCCTAGCACACCACAAAGGTGGCGGCACTCCAAAACCCTTGAAAAAAGCCCCATAACCACAAGAACCCGAAGGTTCCGTAAACAGATGGAGAGACTAGTTGGAGGAAGGACCCGACTGCCAAAAACGGACTACATTAAAGTCCGGCAAAAAACACCCCCAGACGCGAAGATCCTCCAAAATGTACTTTGTGTCACCTATTCATCCGCACATAAAAACGTGGTTAATGGCATTTACTGTTCTGACAGGAAAAGTTGTGCCGAGCAACATTACCGTCCTGACAGGAAAAGTTGTGCCAAGCAGCAATCAGCAAACCTGGTAATTACTTTTGGGGTGAAAGGTAATGTGCATGGCCAAACAAATCCACAGGTGGGTTTGTGCTGAGCAGCAATCATGCACACCTGGTAACTGCCGTTGGGGTCAAAGGCCGGTTACAGCCAATCGGATCCACAACAGGGGTATTTAAACTCAACACCCCTCTTGCTCATTGCCCTGTCATGGTTTCATGCCTATGGTTATCCGAGAGTGCATTCCTGATCTTGATTTTCTGGTCTTTGGCTTTGTTTTGACTTCCCTGATATCTGGTATCCTTGACTTTTGGCTTTCCCTCATCTTTGTGTCTGATTCTGTGTCCCTGACCTTGGCAAGTATTTTCACTCTTCTTGGAGACGATAAGTCCGGCCATTGTAAGGTCCTCAATACTCATCTCTTGTTCTTTCATTGCAGGGCGTCGAGAAGAAGTAGGGATGAACCTCTGTGGGGGGCCTACCAAGCGACAAGACCTTTCCAAGATGAATTTACCAGGAGAGAACTTCAGGAGCCAGCAGGAATCAAAAGGAGGGAAAGGAAACGGGGAACCTCTTAAAAGGCAAGGGGAGGCCCTGCCCACCATGCTGCAACATTTCCTGCCTAAACTTCAGTCCCATTAGAAGACCTATTAATTACATTTCAGGCCCGCTAGGGGGCCCTACACTACCAGAATGACAATGTTTTTACTTGCAGGATTAAAACTGGGGGGACATGGAACCCAGACCATGTATGTGAAGGATAGAATAAAATCTAGGCTACTAAAAGTTAATGAGGCAAACATAGACTCAGTTTGGGTTACGTTAGAATTTGGAAATCACACAGTAACTGGTGTAGTGGGATTTATAGGCCCCCCAGAACAAATAGAAGAGTTAGATAATCTACTAGTTGAGGAAATAGCTACAATGACAATGAAGGGGGAAATTATCATCATGGGTGACTTTAATCTTCCTGATGTGAACTGGAAATCCAAAATAGCTGCTTGTGCCAGGAGCACACATATTCTAAACTCCCTACTGGGATTGTCTCTAAAACAATTCGTCGAGAAGCCAACTCCTAAAGAGGCCATATTAGATTTAGTGTTAACAAATGGAGATTTGATATCCGATATTACTGTAGGTGAAAGTTTCTGATCAAGTAATCATCAGTCACTGTGGTTTAATATAAGAACAGTGACTGAGTCACACCACACAAAAGCAAAAATTTCAGACTAAAATTAGAATATGTGTGAAGGAGTCATTATCAGACTGGAGCAGTTTAAATGGAGTCCAAGAAAAATGGGATCATTTAAAAGTTGCTGCTGAAGGCAACAGAAAACTGCACTAGGCTTGTCAGTAAAAGCAAAAAAATTTAAGAAACCACTGTGGTACTCCACAGATGTGGCCAAAATAGTAGAAAACTAAAAGTTAGCATTTAGTAATTATAAAAAAACCCAGAGTGAGGAAGACAGAATGATCTATAAGATTAGGCAGAAAGAGGCTAAGCAAGTTATAAGAGCTTCCAAATCACACACAGAAGAGAAAATAGTACAGTCAGTAAAAAAAAAAAGGGGACAAAACTTTTTTTAGATACATAAATGAGAAAAGTAAAACAAGGATTAGTTAGATTAAAAACAAAAGAAGGAAGGTATGTAGAAGAGAATAAAGGTCTAGATGACTGCCTCAATTAATATTTTTGTTCAGTATTTACAGATGACAATGAAGGGAAAGGGCCTCAGTTAGAAAAAAAGACAAATGCAAATGCCGCAGGCAGAGAAAGGGTGGGTTGAACTGACCGACCGGAGCAGAACGAATTGTACAAGCACTGGGGCGTCTGGTGTGATTGATTGGAGTTCTGGTGACCCGAGGGTGTTTAAAAAAATGCGCAGTTTCACCGGCTATACAGCCCTTAACAAATTCGTAATAGACGTTCACAAATAAACAGCCTATAATAGGCTGAACACCTAAAGATATCAAATTGATAAAACTATTTCCAAATTAGAAACTTGGTCATATATTTTATTTAAAAAAAAGAGAAATAAAAGGCAAGTGACTAATTAAAAGGGTGGAGAATGGGAGAACAGAAAGTTAAAAAGCCATGAGAGGGGAGAGATTGCTTGAAAAAGGATAAAGAAAAAAATAAATATCTAAATAAATTTTAAAAAAGTAGGATAGAAGAAAAAAAAAAAAAAAAAACAAGTTTCCTCCACTACTGAATATAAAATCCTGTGTCTAAGATGGCCCCAAAAGACAAGACTGAAAAAAGCGAAAAAGCTGAGAAAATAAAGAGCACAACTAAACAAAATAAATCACAAACTTTTAGCAACTTTTACTTCCCTTAAAGTCTATGTCCACACTATCAGAAAAATCATCTTCCCGAAAAATGTATGGAAACAAGCTCATTCGAACATACACCTGAGCATTTGGGTTTGTCACTCAAGCAAGCCTTGTTACTGCATTAGAATCATTATATGATAAAATTAAATCAGATCTTGAAAAAAATTATCAGATTATAAAGAAGAAATGGCTCAACTAAGAAATTCCTTATTAAAGCAATCCCAGGAAATTGCAGTATTGTATCAAAAGTTGAATGATCTTCAAAACCAAAATGATTTGCTAAAAGTGGATATTACTAAAATGGATACGAATCTGACCGATCTTGAATATAGATCTCGTAGACAAAACCTGAAAATTAGAGGAATACCAGAAGAAATTGTGAACGTCGAAGAATATTTGATGGAACTATTAGCTGTTTACTTGGACCCAAAATGATATGGTCCAATATCTATAGAAAGAATGCATAGACTACCGAAGCCAACCAATCTAATTCAATCAAATAGTCCTAGAGATGTGATAATCTGCTTTGCCAATTGTAGAATTAAAGAGATGCTGACCAGAGAGATGAGGAAGAACCCTTCAAAGAATCCAAAATTCCAAACACTGTCTACCTTTACGGACCGCTCATTAACGAGATTAAACAGAAAGAAATATCAGTAATTTACAGCATATCTGCATAAAAATTACATCCCTTATCATGGGGTTTTCCTACCAAACTACATATTTCATATAAAGAGAGAACCTATAAATGTTCAGACCCTCAGCAAGTGAAAGACAAATTAATGGCATGGGGACTAAAATTATAAGCAACAAAAAAAATGTATTATTATTTTTTTTTTTTTTTTTTTTATTCTTTATTTTTGTAAGTGCAAAAGTAGATACATTTGTCAAGGCGGTCACATAAGATTACAGTAGTAGGCAAATAAAGACAATTCTGGTGACATATTTGTTATGCGTTGCACTTTGTTTTTGTTTGAGTGAGAAATTCACGATTTAACCAAAAAGATTTAACAAAAGAAATTTACCGAAAGAGAACAAAACAGGCATATCAAAGTGACGCCAGGACAGGCGTTGCTTAATAGGCAGAAACATGTATTAGCTATGCGCAATATCATATTATGGTGTGCATGGAAATAAAGATCAGGTGGGCTCGTCATGTCCCAACAGTGTTGACCAGCATGATACCCAATATTTATTAACAATTAGTCAGCATGTGAAAGGTGTAGCTCATGTTTATATTGTAACATTATAGGTTGTGAGCGTATGGGCGATGTAAAAAGGATTGTGCTTATGTTATACTGTTTGGAAATTAATATATTCTAAATGAGTGGGGGTAAGTGGGGCCTCTCTCAAAGCTCCTGCCAGCCATATCAAAAGGACATCGTTCGTGCCAGGTTGGGCTAAGAGCCTTATAAATGCAGGCTGGGGCGTTAGTAAGTGCAGGCTGAGGTTTTATTAAGTGCAGGCTGGGGCGTTCTTGTGGATGCTACTGTATGACAACGTTCGGAAGTTTTTTATGGGAAAACACGGTAGTGACATGTTATGTAATGTTGTCTGGAAGGTTATGCCGTGCTTAAGGTGGTGGGTCAGGCATTTAAGCATATATTTTAAACGGCCTCTGCCTGATCTGGTTGTTTAGGTACGTGTTGTAAATATGGGTGTCTATACAGGTGTGGTAAACATTTAGTATGAGTCAGCATCAATAAAAAATAAAAAAAGACATTAAGAAAAATAAAAATGCGAGCAGACAGTCTCGATTACTCTCGCTGTGGATGGGTGTTCTCATCTGTTGGGCAGTGGGCCAGGTTGTTGCCTGGTAAAAGAAAAGAGAGGGAAAGCGTCCCGGTAGTGTTTGTTCTGTTTCAGGTTGTGGGAGCCACACGTGGTCCTGTTGGGGGCCGTCGTGGCACAAAGATTGGCGCGTCAACTGCGCCCCTCACTGGGCTGCTTGTGGTTCCAGCCGGTGGATTAGTGGTGTCCGGTGCCGTCAGTGGCAGCTGCATGTCTTCCAGTGTCCTTGTGGCCTCTTGTATGTTCCGCACCACTAGAGGGCCGCTTGCGCCTTCTATGTGTAGTGCACGCCCTGGACCCCAGCGGTACCTGAGTTGTTTCTGCCTCAAGAAGGATGTAAGCTGTCTGAGGGATCTTCTCCAGTTCAGCGTTCCACTTGAGAGATCTGCATAAAACGACAGTCATGTCCTCAAAAGTATAGATTGTTATCCCTTTGGTGGCTTCTAGAACAGCCCTCTTGTCCCTCGCGCCTTGAAAACTGAGGATTATGTCCCCTGTGGCAGCTGGTGGTGCTGTAGTTGGCCGTGGTATACGGAAGATGTCGTCCAATATTATGGATTTGGCCACTTTCGGGGTTAAGAGCGCAGTCAGTAGCCGCCTAGCATAATGTGGGAGCTCGGCCTCTGGTACAGAATCTGCGACCCCTCGTAGTTTTAGATTGTTTTGCCGTCGCTTATCCTCTTGTGTGGCCAGTTGCTGGTCATGTAGTGCTGCCAGTTGTTTGAGGTCGTGTTCTGTTGCTTTCAGCTCCTCTATCTGGCTGGTGTGGCCGCTTGAGGTGCATTCCACGGTCCCAAGCCGCGCTGAGAGGCCTTTCAGATCCTCCCTTATCGTGGCCACTTCTGCAGAGATTTTGCTGTGATGAGCGGCCATGAGCTCCCTGATGGCCTCCATAGTCACCGGTGTGGGAGCTAATGCAGGTACTCGAGGCCTGTCTGGCGGTAGTGGAGCTTTAATCGGCATGCAGCTCCCTTCTTCTTCATCAGGTGTGCAGGCCGAGAAATTTGAGCAGCCTCCGTGCAGGGACGCCATTGTTGCGCCGGCTGTCTCATGGGCCTGCTTCCACATGTCCCCGATATTCATGCCCAGACGGGGCTTGTCGGGCTTTTGCTTCTTTGTTTTTCTGCCCATGTGGATTGGGTAAGCTGTGGGGCACTCCGGGGAGTGTTTGGGTCGTGGTCGGGTTCTGGTTGCGGCGATTTAGCTCGTTTGGAGTCGGGAGCTCTGCCGCCATGCGACTTTCCTCGTCTGTTGCTAGACTCCGCCCCCATATTAGATTTTTTTTAATAAAAAAAATAAATAATCTCCCTCCTTTTATTCTGCCCGCTAAGGGAGAAGGAAAAGAAGGAATAGAAGAGTGAACGAAAAAAAGGGGGAGGATATGAGAGGAGCAAAAAATAAATAATATATATATTTATATATTTATTATTTTTAAAACATTTTTTGTTTAAACAGTCTTGAAATGTGCAAGGACATTTGTATACAAGAGGTGTTGATAAGAGTGCTTCTAGTGCATGCAAGGTATTTTGAACACTTTTTTTGGGGGGGAGGGGGGGGAGTTATAAGTATGTTAGAGGTCCTTTTCGACCTGTCTAATGCACTGTATAGAATTATGAACACCTGATAAATTTGGTAATTAATAATCACCACCACAGAATAGAAGTTGTATATAATTTTTATATAGATACTACATAAATTGATATTTCTCTTAGAGATCGAAATTCACAGTCACAGATTAGAAATCATATAACAATTAAACAATATAAATGTGATATTATAATTATCTAGGCAATAAATGAAGAGGTTTGAGATAGATGAGGTGATGTAATAGTTATGGATTTTTTTCTTTTTTTTTTTTTACACTTTTTAAGATATATATATATATATATATGCTCGAGGATTTAATGTATTTCTCTAATGCACAGAATAGAAAATTGGAACACTTGATAAAAAGATAATTGATGTTCACCAGCACAGAATGGAAATTGTATAATATTTAAGCAACATAAAAAATGAGTTACTATAATCTTCTAGATAAAAATCTAGGATGGATACTAGTTTTTTTTCTGACATAAAAATAAATAGCTTTTTGCATATCTGACTATAAGTAATAAGGACAGCACTAAAAACTACTTATCTTATTTATGCTTCTATATAATTGGTTTTTAATTTTTTTCTTTTTGTTTTTTTTGTGTTTTTTTTCTTGATAGACTTATCATTTAGAATTTTAGAATCAAATATAAGTTCTGTAAAAGGCACTTTGACAGACCCTAGTTTATCCCTAATGGTACAGGGATTTTTTCTTATACTTGTGATGCAGAATGTACTTCTGCACCGCAATGCCGGAAGATTAAGTATAAATGAGTTTTGTATGAATGTTTTCGTGTATGTTTTTCATTATTTTTTTACACCAACGGATTGTTCTCTGGTGTCTCAGGGTGTGTGTGTAAATAAAATAGGAGGTCTGAAGTCAAGGGTGTTTGATGTATCTTAAACTGGTTACATTAAACTCGCAGGGACTGAATTCGCCATACAAAAGAGCATTTTTATTTGATTTACTAGTTAAAGAAAATATTGATGTAGCTCTAATACAAGAGACACATTGGAAACTAAATCAATCTCTATTATGGAAATATAATAGATTGCCATATATTTATAAATCTTTTTTAATAGAAAAAAAGAAAGCAGGTGTTGCTGTGATTGTTTCTAATAAAATTAAATTTGAATATATACATCATGATTCAGATAATGAAGGCAAATATATAATCTTGATTTGTTGTATTAATGACATTATGTATACCCTTGTTAGCTTAAATGCGCCATCTGAATATTCATTCAATTTTAGCTCTCTTATTCTATCCTATTTTTTAAGTGTACCTATCTATTGTACACGTTTTTAATGCATCTTATCTTAGGTTATAATATTCTCACCAGTGTCTTTTTAAAGTGGTGCTAATCCTCTACACTTTTTTATATTTAATATATTGTTATCATGACTCATTCCAACTCTTCCATATGCTAGCTTGGAAGAGAAGGAAGGAGACTAATCTAGGCTGGTACAATAGGAATTTGTGAACCATACATATTATGCTGGTCGTCTCCCAATCTATTAAAAAAAAATGCAAATCGAGGGACATATAATAAAGAACATTATATCATCAGCACATAAAATCAGAAAGAGATATAACTAAAATAACATTTTTACTAAACATACTCCTAACTTTTATTTCTATATATCACAGATTTAGATTTAAGACTGTGGAAAGCAGTAGGTATTAACAGGCAGGGAGATTTATTTAATTTAGATCAAATTATGTTATTTCCTGATGTTGTAAGAATATTTGGTTTACCTACAAAAGAATTATTTAACTATATCAGGATCAAACATTTTTTCCAAGTAAATTTTATATCAGACTTAAATATATGGGAAGACATTATTGATATACCATCCACAAAAAAATCTAGTTTCAAAGGAGGAGTCGGGCAACTATAGGCCAGTAAGCCTTACTTCAGTAGTGAGGAAAGTAATGGAAACCATGTTAAAGGATAGGATTGTTCAACATCTAAAATCACATGGATTTCAAGATCAGAGACAACATGGGTTTACTTCAGGGAGATCATGCCAAACTAACCTTACTGATTTTTTTTGATTGAGTAACTAAAATAATAGATCAGGGTGGTGCAGTAGACATTGCTTACCTAGATTTCAGTAAGGCTTTTGACACTGTTGCACATATAAGGCTTATCAATAAACTGCAATCTTTAAGTTTGGATTCCAATATTGTTGAATGGGTAAGGCAATGGCTGAGTGACAGGCAACAGAGGGTTGTAGTCAATGGAGTATAGTCGAAGCATGGTCTTGTCACCAGTGGGGTACCTCAGTGATCTGTACTTGCACCCATTCTCTTTAATATTTATTTGTGATATTGCAGAAGGTCTTGATGGTAAGGTATGTCTTTTTGCTGATGATACTAACATATGTAACAGGGTTGATGTTCCAGGAGGGATAAGCCAAATGGCAAATGATTTAGGTAAACTAGAAAAATAGTCAGAGTTGTGGCAGCTAACATTTGATGTGGATAAGTGCTAGATAATGCATCTTAGACGTAAAAACCCAAGGGCAGAGTACAGAATATTTGATAGAGTCCTAACCTCAACACCTGATTTAGGGGTAATTATTTCAGATGACTTAAAGGTAGGCAGACAATTTAATTGAGCAGCAGAGGAAATGCTAGCAGAATGCTTAGTTGTTTAGGGAGAGGTATTAGCAGTAGAAAGAGGGAAGTGCTCATGCCATTGTACAGAACACTGGTGAGACCTCACTTGGAGTATTTTACCCAGTACTGGAGACTGTATCTCCAGAAGGATATTGATAATTTAGAGAGAGTTCAGAGAAGGGCTACTAAACTGGTTCATGGATTGCAGGATAAAACTTACCAGGAAAGGTTAAAGGATCTTAACATGTATAGCTTGGAGGAAAGACGAGACATCGGGGATATGATAGAAACATTTAAATACACATAGGGAATCAACACAGTAAAGGAGGAGACTTTATTTAAAAGAAGAAAAACTACCACAGCAAGAGGACATAGTATTAAATTAGAGGGACAAAGGTTTAAAAATAATAGGAAGTATTACTTTGCTGTAGGATAGTGGATGCATGGATTAGCCTTCAATGCTGAAGTGGTAACGGTTAACACAGTAAAGGAGTTTAAGCATGCGTGGGATAGGCATAAGGCTATCCTAGACATAAGATAAGGCCAGGGACTAATGAAAGTATTTAGAAAATTGGGCAAACTAGATGGGCCGAATGGTTCTTAACTGCTGTCACATTCTATGTTTCTATGAATTTCAGCAATTAGGACAGCCAGCATGTTGCAGCCCATTCACTGCCAGTCACGTATGCTGAACATAAATTGGAAAATGTTCCCAAATTAGTGTATTTGATTGGCTCTTCCATGCATTAATAGTACAGTTAAGGTTAAAGTTGGATTGCAAAGTGTATGTAGTGTGTTTTGTGAAAAAAGCAAGCATGAAATCTGTCATATGCTACTATGTGTATGGAGGTCATAATGATGTACATTACACAAACATTTTCACTTTTTTTTTAGTTGGTAAAAATAGTAGAAAAGACGCTATGTCAATCAGTGTAAAACATGCAAAGGGAAATCTGACCCTTTTGTTCTTTAAATATTCTAAAAAGCCTATCATCCTCACACAAGGCATTGCAAAGGAAAATTACAAATCTGACAAAATACAAAAACCAACAACAAAGTGTAAATTAAACACTGTGATAGTAATGTTTTCTCAAAAGTCGATAAGACTGTGCACAGATCACCACATGTGGTCCATCTTACCAGATGATGGTCACCGCTATAATAGTTTTTTTTGTCTCTAGATGTTCACAAAAAAGAAAAAAACTAAATTGCAAATCTTTATTATAACAAATCAACAATTTATTCAATAAAAGTGCACTAACAAACATTTGATTAAAGAAAGGAACACTCCAAACTCCCAACTTTGGGAGATATATAGACCCTACATAGGGATATGATTGATAATAGTGATCATAGACACACACAAGTTGGGAATGTCATCCTGGCGGTGCTCATGGGTTGTTGACGAACGGTGTGCTTTTGGATGCTCTCTTACTGGCAGAAAGCTAGGAGTTAGTTAAGAATATGCTCCTTTAACAATATTTTGAGGACTTCTCTATGGTTTCTCAGAAACAGGAAAAACAACTCAGGATGGTAGGACAGAGGCCCACGGAAGGAACAGTTCTGCAAAAGTCTAGTCATTTGGGAGGTGTGATTGTGTGTTTCCTCCCCTTGGCACAGATCTCATAATGAACTGCTTATTAAATTAATTTACACCTTTATGCCAACAACACCCAGATATTCCCTTCACATTAATCTCCTTCCCTCCCATAACAGCTGCCTCTCCTCGTTCTCTTACTGGATAACTGAACAATTTCCGAAATTCACTCACTTTATGTTTTTCCTTCTTCAAACATTTGTTCTTTTTTGTCTAAAACCCTTCAGTTTGCCAAAACACAGACACATATATGTTAAGATTTATATTTAAGGGTACGTGGATACTTCCTGTAGCATATGTACATTAAAGGGACATTATAGTCACCCAGACCACTTCAGCTCAATGAAGTGGTCTGGGTGCTAGGTCCCTCAGGGTTTAACCCTTCACATGTAAACATAGCAGTTTCAGAAAAACTGCTATGTTTACATAGCAGGGTTAATCCAACCTCTAATGGCTGTCTTCCTGACAGCAGCTAGAGGCACTTCTGTGACGTTGGATGTGAAATTCACATCCAACCTGCAGAACGTTCATAGGAAAGCATTGAGAAATGCTTTCCTATGGGCTGTTTGAATGCGCGGGCGGCTCTTGCCGAACATGCGCATTCCGCTCCACTCGGGAGCTGACGTCGGCGGGGGAGGAGAGGTCACCAGCGCCGAGGGAGCCCGGCACTGGATTAAGGTAAGCTGCTGAAGGGGTTTTAACCCCTTCAGCCCAGCGGGAAGGAGACCCTGAGGGTGAGGGTCCCCCAAGGATGACAGTGTCAGGACGAGTTTGTTTTCCTGACACTATAGTGATCCTTTAACATTTAACACTCTTAGCATATCTAATAACGCAACAGGTTTTGTATAAAAAACACAACAGAAACATTAAATTGCATTTTTCTTATTTAATGAACATGAGAAAATCTAATTAAAATTAATTGCACTTAAGAGTTTAAGCACATTTTTCTTTTATACAATTATATTACGTGGGCACAAAAATGTTGAACAATTTAAAAGTGAATGCACACAGTCAACAATAAAACATATTTGTGACAAATAAATAATAACTTTCTAAAAAAACACAATTTGACTGGCTTAAAACCTTATTTTCACATACAATAGATTGGCAAATGCAGTGTTTCCCATTTAATACCAGCATTTATGAGAACCTTATATGTTTGGGATGCATAGGAATAGGTAGGTCTGTTTAGCATTCTGTAATAAAATTAATCATTATTTAATTCCCTTTATTCTGGATGCTTGTGGATAAGACATTATGTTCTTGTGGATAAGACATTATGTTCTTTGCCAGCTCAGATACAGTCACTGGCTGACTATTTCAGCCTGAATTTTGCAATACAATTATCAAGTTCATCCAACGTAATTCACTGTTTTTAAAAAAAGGAAAAATGCCTACATTCTTTAGCACAGTAAGGCACAAAAAATTGTCCCTCTTGATGTTATATCTAGTTTGTGTGCTTAGCGAGTTTGCCTATATGACATTTTCACCAAGTAATAATTGGTAGAGGTAGAAATGCCTAAAGAAAAAAAAAATCTATATTTTTTTAAATGACAGAATATGACAGATAAAAAATACCCTAAACCCAGTAATTTCTAAATTAAAGAAACATCTGATATTAAACATGTTTAAATGTCTACAAGTTGCAGTCTTAATGGACTACACTGCTGCACGCAAAAGAAAGTCTTTGTTACATCAGCAATAACTACCGGTATCTAGCGATGTGTTGGATGGGTGGACCCCTTAATGACGAGTGGTTTGCAGATAAAGCTGTATCTTGGCAAATGCTACAACAACAAAGTATGCTGTAGCTTATAACAGAGAAGGAGATGAGAAGGTGACATAACTGAAGAAGAAGCACGTAAAAAGATATAAGAAAACTTTTTAAAAACTGTATTGCTTTTAAAACGCTGAATGGTTGTGGCACTCTGTTACATGTATCAATATAAGATTTTCTTTCATGAGGAAGTGCTTCTAATGACTGTCAGACAGACACTAGAAGAGTGTTTTAAATGACTCTACTGCCTAAATACAAAAAAAAAAAAAAAAAGTTTAATCACTGTTTAGTATATATACCACAATGAAAACATGCATGCATTTAATTATGCATTTCTTTTAAATTGGAGTATATTTAAAAACAGCCTCCAAAGGTGTAGATCTCTGGTTTGCAGTCTTTGCAAGCCATCCCCTTCTAATTCAACCCAGACTATCTGTGGCTGTCCATTCACAGACTTCTAAATTCTTGTGTCTAGCGCCATTGAGATAAACAACCAGGAAGTAATAAGACTGGGTGTTTGATTGACAGTCAGGGAGTGTAACAACATTCATTTATAAAAGTGCCAATTACTATTGAAATCTGAATACATACAAGGCGGAGTTTCTTGCTTAATCTATAAACAGATTGTATCGAAGACTATTGAAATCTGCACTTTTTATAAAATGAATGAAAAAGGACACAGTTTTCACACATAAGGCACTTTAGCTTGATTTAGTGCTTTAGGTGCCTGGAGTGTCCCCTTAACCCCTTTAGGACACATGACATGTGTGACATGTCATGATTCCCTTTCATTCCAGAAGTTTGGTCCTTAAGGGGTTAAGCCAATATGTAGACAATGCTGTTTCTCTGAAACAGCAAAGTTTTACATTGCCAGAGAAAAGAGACAGGATCTATGCTCCAAAACCACTATATTAAGGCATAGTTGTTATGGTGTTTAAAGTGCCCTTATGAACCGCAATCTTTGCAAGCCCTCCTATTTTTCCATGGAAGAGATTTTTAGTTTCGTTAAAAGGGAATAGCCAATCAGAGGCTTCTCATTGAGCAAGATGAAGTGCCTGATGGGTGTGTAGTGGTCTTGTAACTGTTGATAATTAACAAGTGAAATGCACACCTCGGCAAAATTTACTGAGCTGAAAAGATAACAGAGAATGCTTCCAGTTTGGTTCAAGTCAAATAAAATATGCAATCTTAGTAAACTTACTGGTGACTTCCACTCCAGATAATAAAATCACAACCTGTGTGGAAAGGGGTAGACTCCTATTTGGTGGAGAAGTAATGATGCCCATGCAGAAAATGGAAGAGATAAGTATAAGACTTGGATCAGCTCTCCATATCTGGACAATATGTCATTAAGTAATGGACACTTTGAAACATATTTTTTCAAGATGGCACTATTCCAGATATCCGTTAGTAAGTTATGAATCCTAAAGTCACTTGGGCAAATTTATTTGAAATACATTTTTGATTTAGTTTTGCATGAAAATGTAATTCCAAGGATCAGTAGTGGTAGTAGTAAAAATAATAATAATAAATAAAAAATACATTTAAAAAAAACACAACTGTATTTACAATGTATAGGATGGGATGATTCCGAGCCAAATTATTTTTAAAAGGCAAGATTCCTCTCACCCTATTGCTGATATGTGTGAAACTCGATGATATCTTTTCCCCTTATTTGGCATATTGTTAAATACATCCTTTAAACGTGAGGTCACATACTCTGTTTATAATCTAGATATACAGTTCTGATCACTGCCCGCTGCCCAATCAAAATATTGCTGTTGAGTCAACGACAGAATTCAATTTTAATAGGAAAAAAGATCATGTGATTAAAAATTAATCTGTAAGTGTTGGCTTTCCTTTACATTTCTTCCTTCATAACCAAGTTAAGACATTGCCTGAGGTTTTAATGCTAAAATAGATGAATTTCAGTCTCTGTGGAACAGCACGATTTAAACTCATCACATTCAATCCTTTTTTGTTTAACCTACTACGGAATAAAGCAAAACCTCCAATTAATCCATATCTGCCTAGTTTAATGATATTTAGAGTACAGATGCTGTTAGCCTTATTACCATATCAATATTCAAAAGGTCTGTCTTGCTGTAATTCTGGCTAAGTTCATAAATACTCAGAATTAAACTTTAAAAGTGAGTAACAAAGGCTATAAAGAAGTTTGATGAAGACCGATAATTTACTCCTTGTGGTATGTTACATATTGAACCTTGAGATTTATTTTAGCTGTAGTTGACTGGTTTAATAAACACAAAGGTCAATTTCATGCATTTCAAGACCCCCAATTAAAGTTTGTTTCACCATACTTTGTATAACGATTTTATGAACGTCTGTAAGTATCTAAGCAGCTCCCTCTAGGTGATCTAGACATAAACTACTACTCAAACCAGCCACATCAAAAACGATGTTAGGCTAAGTCCCATAAATATGAGTGCCTCCTACATAACATTCTAGTAATATTTATAAGTTACCATAATCAAGTGAATCTCTTTAAGATCATTTTACAGTACATCCCATAAATTGCAATTATCACACAGTTCACTGCAGATAAGATTACAATTATCTCCACTGATTATTATTAAAATAAATTGTGATGACCCTTTTCAGAACTCCTCGAAGCTTAAGCAATTCTACCTATTTGCTTGTGTCTAGGGGATTAGAATTTGGACCATAGTTTAGAATGTTCTTTGACTTCTACATTCATATATCCTTCACAAGACGTTCTTAACAATTTAGTGACCCCGAACAAGCTACTGGATTGACCTTTTTTAATTGACAATTGGCACAAGATGTGAAATGTTCACTGTAAATGTACTCGTTATGTTGGTTCTTTATTGATGTCACAGTTTTTGTTGCAACAAAGTTCTGTTCATATGGTTTGATTTTAGAATGCATGAATTTATCTCTACTTTGACAAAGGAGACTTAGTCCTTTGTGTCAGCATGCATTAAAAAGACAATATAACCCTATGCAGTTCTTTCTGGGGGGTTTTCCAGTTAAGAAAATGAAACATCTTGCTTACAGTCTAAAATAATTGACCCATGTGTAGGTTTTCCAAGTATTAGGTCTATGTTCTGAAGTCAAATGCTCACTCACATAATGACCTTTTCACAGGTTTGTTTTCCTTATAGTAAAGCACAAGAACTGAAACTTAAGGCATGTAGGAGAGCTCTTATTGCTCACAAATTATATTTGTGGTAAAATACTTTGCATGGCTCATATGTGTGGAGGATTAACATTGCAGTCTCTCACTTCAATTTTGCCACCTTTTTTATCCAAGAGCTATATTTACTAATTTTGGTATACACTCCAGGGTAGCCTTTTCGTCCACATCCGTACCCCCAAGATGTTATTCCTACAATTACCCATTGTCCATTTGGCCTTTGGCACATGAGAGGACCTCCGCTATCTCCTTGACAGCTGTCCACCCGTTGGTCTTCCGAGAGATTTCCAGCACAGATCATCCGACTTGTAAATTTGCCTTTATATTGCAAAATACAAGACTCCTTGGGAAGAAGAGAAACCTCACCTTGCAAAAGCGTCCGGGAATAAGATGTTCCTACAGCAAAACAGACAAATAAAATAAGTAATAACAAGAAAGAGACAGACAGATATGTACTGTAGTTTGGAGTAGTCTTGCTAGTCCAATGTTAAAAATACAAATATTGATGTATCTTAAAATATGTTTTATTGCAGATCTTGACTGCCACACGTGTCCAGTGGGAGCACCTCGCTAATATCAAGCTTTAGGCAGCTAAATCGCTTTAAATTAATAATTCCACAACTTGTGGCTGAAGTTATTCTGCATTCTTACACCACTTAACTCATTCTGTGGGACTTTTGTCCATATATTACCAGAGCTGAGGTGCTTTTGCTGTGAGGCCTAGTACACCACGGGCAGAAGTGGCCGATTTCCTGGACTGGACTGTAAAAGTCATTATAAGTTGCATTTTCAGTTGAATTTAAGGAAATCACTTGAAGCATTCGTTTTGTTGAGCTATATCAATTGCTTTTGTTTCATTTGTTCAACTGAAAGTGTAATTATTGACAATAAACCAGATTTTCAATAGGGGTTGAATAATTTTGATTACAACTGTACTACCCTTGATCTTACATTACTATGGTCTCCCTAAGCCAAAATGGATACCCAGTCGTGGGCCTTTTGCTTACTGTGATCTGTAAATTGTTTTGGAACTGGCCTAGGCTCCCAATGGGCACATTTAAGCTAAAAAAATGTAAGAGGCCATGTCAGATATTAATCAAAGGGCATGCTAATCATTAGTTATTTTTTTTACCATTCCTACTATTCTCTGACACCCTGTTTTCATGTATATCTCTATAAAAGCCCTTTCTCAATAGTGTGCTGCCATGAAAATAGCAAATAAATAAATAAATAAATAATAAGTTCACGATAAAATTTAATACAAAAGCCCGGAGAGGCCCAGTATTTGTAATGTTTTTTATTACTTGTTATCTCAAGAAAATAAATAGTTTTCTAGAGATAACAAGTCAGAGAAATATTAAAAATACATGACCTCTCTGGGCTTCCATCATTTAAACTATCATGATAAGTATAACATTGTAGTTTTACTAACTTAAACAAATACTGGAAATATTTACAGATTCCAAAAAAAGCAGAAGAATAGGCAAACCGATTCCAGTAATTTCTCAATAATAAATCATACCTGTGTCTCCCCATCCAGTAATGAAGCATGTCTTCCGATGGACAGACTTTTCCTTCTTCTCAGGCAGACATATTGGTAGGACATGGTAAGTGAATGGCAAACAGTGCCCATCCCTGCCCTTTACTCTGATTAGAGCAATATCATTGTCAATGCTTCCCGAATGGTAGTTCTTATGAATTACAATCTTCTGCACAAGAAGCTCTCGTTCGAATTCATCTTCCACTCCAGTGTGGTAATCCCCAACTCTAACAGAGTAGCGATGGGCTTGTACACCAAACCTGTACGAGTAAAGAAGAGTCACAAAGTATCAAACAGGAACGTAAAATGGAGTTGACAGCTGAAAAACAAATAGTAGGCTTGCAACGGGGTAATTATAAATTTCCACTATAGACTACTCTGGGTTATACTATTAGACTAGCATCTTCAGCATTAGTTTGCTATCCTACTTGTAACATATTCCTATGTGGGGTCTTTTAGGGAAAAAAGAAATTGTTGGTTCTTAGACAGCATTTTGTATTTTCTAAGCTAATGCCTTCTATTCTACAAGGTTGTTGGGTACTTCCTATGGTTGCCTCATGATCTGCTGCTCAGGGATATTCTTAGACATTATGCATTCTATTCTTTTCCTATTGTTTTGTATCCTTTCGTGTGTAACCAAGAAGAACTGATTAATTTCTTCCAGGAACTTTGCTTTTAATTTGCTGAGGCTTAGGGAATTGAGAATTTGTACCGCTTTATAAGTCTGGTCATACTGATCTCCTTTTCTCCTCTGCAATGTATTGTGTTGGCTATCCACGATGCCTCCTGTGATTGAATCCCATGGGACTGCTAACTAGCAGACTTGGGAGAATAACCCTGTGTCTAAGCAGAAACAGTGAAGATGTCCCATTGATTAAACAGCTCATTAAATTAGCTTTTTGCTTACACCTTCTGAGGATTAATGCACATTGAAGGATTGATATTTGACACTCCCTAGGGAAAATATTATTTACAGGGACTGACTGGTAGGGAGCAGGCACTATGATTTCTACTAATTTCACGTTAGGTTTCCTGTCCTTTCATGTGTGAAGAATGAAGCTACCCATTAGTGAATTCTGATACTTTAGAAATGATAGTAAACATGGAGCAAATTTAAGGTTTCTTAGAAAGCCCTTTCTTGTGAGAGACCAATACAATTGGAAATGTATATATAAACTGATTACAAATGGCAATATGCCCTGTAATATTATAAAGAGTGAATACATGTTTATGTAGGCAATAAGTGCCAACTTAAAAAAAAACTCACTCAGCTAACCTGACCATTTCATTCTCCGTTTCTAAGACATTGGATCATAAATATATACAACTTAAGTGGTCACTCCAACCTTGTATTAATCTGTAAAACATAAAGTGTTCAATATGTCGTGCTAAAAATGTTTTTACATTTTTTTAAAGGACTGCCTAAGCACATACCCACAATAGATTTCTGTAGCGTCCTGACCCCATCATCCGGTTTAATGACAAACATAAACCAGGGTTCTTAATGGTGCCTAACGGACATCTTTTCCTCAGCCAATCAATGCTACGTAAGTTGGATACAATTCACATTGATAATTTGTGTTAATTAAATATTACCAAATGTGGCTGAGGAGGAGGCAGTATCTGGGCACTGGAAACATGTTCAAACTGTTTGTTTAGTTTAGGTCAAATCAGTTTGTCATCCAAACCATTTTGAAATTAAACAGAAGGATGGCACCAGTTTACCCAAGACAAGCAAACCATTACAGATAGTTATAGTAGTCATGTTGATTGCAGCTTCATTTTGTTGTTTTTGTGGTGAGAATACTCTCAATCTTGAAGAGCAACAATGCGAGAAACACAAGATATTTTCTTTACCTCTTGAAACAGTGAGCCGCTGTTAGAACCCAACAATTGCTTATCAGCGTTGCACCGCACAGTAACCGAGACTCTTTCGGGAATCCCTTTAGCCTCAATGAAGCCTGCCATGGCCAACTGCCCCTAAACAAGAGAAAACATGTTTTTAGAATACGATATAATCGGAATATCAAGGCAAATGTGTAATTTGCAGATCTTGCCTCTAATATTTATTGACAGCACCAGTATTTGTCTTTGAATTGTCAAAAACAAAATTCTTTACTGCTTTTTGTACTTGTTTCTTTTACACTGTCCCATATTTCTTGTAGCAGGAATATTGTCCCTGTATGTTGTATGATTCATGTAAACAGTTATTAATATTTGTGGAGATACAATTTGTCTGCTATAACGTGTACCATAAACATGTTAACATGTTTCAACATGACTTATCGATATGTAATGGATATACGCCTCTTGTGCCCAAGGCAGTGTTGCTTGCCATTGGCTTCTGCGTAAGCATTTAAGTTGGCCATGTACTTGCTATAACCTATAATATGACACACACAAAAAAAATAATAAAAAAAAATAAAAAATAAAAAAAACCCTTTGTAGACGACAGGTACCAATAGTTGTTTAAGGAATGGGCGTAGATCGTATTTGTTGCACTATGTTATGCTTATGAGAATTGAATTCACATTGGCTTCTGCGTAAGCCCAAAAAGTTGATGAATACTTGCTGCGTCTATTGAGTGAAAAAATAAAGAATTAAAAAAAAAAAAAACATGTTAACATGTTGGACTTCCTCCTTCTCCATTCTCCTATTTCCACCCCCGTACCTTCTATAGAAGGAAAAGGGAAACTGGTGGGGTTTTTTTTTTACAGTTTTGTCACTATTCCTTTCCTTTCCCAGGTCTAAGTGTACCTCTTTAAGAACATGGAATCAAATAGCTGATAGGTATTGCAGGTTATTACAGCAAATTAGTAGCTTCAGGTTTTCCAGAGATAGAATAAAGTCCAACATAGAACCAAAATAGGAAAAAAACAGTAGGCTAGCAGTGACATAGTCTGCCTTAAATGTACTGAAAATAGGCTGGAGCCCAACACATGTTGCACAAATGAATTCAAAGAGGTGTAGTGAGCGATAAGGATTGCGCTAATAAGCTTCTTATGGTAGAAATTAGCAGGCTGAGGCTAATGGTATCGGAAGACAGAAGTCAGAAGGCAAAATGTGAAGTACTAATATTTACTATAGAAAATGATGATAGGGAGAAGCTTTCTGGAACCTTTCATTTGATGAGGGTTAATGTAGTTTTAAAGTACTTGGGGATTAATTTACCATACAAGTGTAAGGATTTGTATGATTTGAACTTTTCTCCTTTGATTAAACAAATTACTAAAGACTTGAGAAATTGGTCATTACCACAGATATCACGGTATGGCCGGGTGGCGGTGTTATAAATGAATGTCCTCTCCAGGCTGCTTTTTATGTTTCAGACTGTCCCAATTTGGCTACCAAGGTCTTTTTTTAAACAGTTAAGGCATACTATTTTAGGATAAATTTAGGGAAATAAGCCCCCACGCCTGGCTTATGTTTATCTGATTAGATCAAAAAGTTTAGGGGGATCTGGGAGTTCTGGACATTTATCGATATTATTATCAGGCAGTTCATTTGACTCAGATACTTGACTGGTCTGAAAGGAAGCCTAAAGGCTGGATAAGTATAGAGCAGGAATGTATAGGAGCTCCAATTAACACAATAGCTTGGTTGAAGAATCCAAATTTTTATCTGAAGGAATAAGATCATCCTACCTTGTTACCTACATTTCGGGTCTGGGGAAAAATGTAGAACACTAGGTAATGTTTAATGTTTGGTAAATTTTCTAGCTTGCTGTTTCCTATATCTCATAATTTAGATTTTCAACCTGGCCTTCACAATCATAATGTATTATTCTCTATTAAAAAAGCGTACATTACAAAAAAAGGAAGTGTATATTACTAAAAACGGCTGCTCAGCTCCCTCAGTCCCTCTCTATGTGAAGGCAGAATTAGAGAGCCGCGCAACACTAGTTTTGTAAAATTGGAATCAGATTAAAGATGTATGGCTATTAACTTACCACATATCCCACTGACAAAGTAATGCTTCCAAAGTGTAACAATTTGCATCCTTTCAATCATTATACGTTTATCCCAGAATACACTTGAATAAAATAGAAATCACATTCCATTATTCCATTCCAAACACTTACAGGGTTTCTTACTAAAGTGAAATCAAAGTGAATTCCAAATTTAAGGCCAGGGTAGCCAAATTAAAAGCATAGCTGACTATGAAAAATAAATACCTTATTGATTTGGTTCCACCAACAATTCTTTTCTTGCGTTGAAGAAGAGGACTGATTCCACACACTGCGGATATACCTGTAAAAAGAGAAAAGTAGGATCATTACTTTTTTTTTAACATTCTTTATTTTAATTTCCACATATATTATATATATTGCTTGTGGTCGGTTACTTTAGTGACCGTGAAATACCTTGAGATTGGTTTAAGTGGGTGTGGTGTGCCGAAACCGACGTAGGGGTAGGCCTATAAAAAAGAGGCCCCCCCCCCCCGAAGGTATGGAGAGTGTGAGGTGGGTGGGGTGATCAGCATACGTGACGGCAAAGATAAGAACGGGGAGTAGCGTTTTATAGGAACGCTAACTCCTCCCACAAATACAGGCCTGTGGCCTTAAAACTTGTTGACGGTGGGAACACACCGTTAAAACAATTCGGTTTAAAAAATAAAAATAAAGGGGGATACAGGGGTGTTACAGAACGAAGATATTGTTAGTAGAGTCATATAACAGGGTAGTTGCATTATGTGTACATATTACCGTAAGCAGTAAACAGATGATAGAGTTAAATTATGCGAATACGGGACTGGTAATTACAACATTTGTTGGAATGGCATGAGCACACGCTATTGTAGGGTATGGTGAAGGTGGTCAAAAGTGTGGTTGCATGAAACTCACAGGACCTCCTGTCTCAGGTTAGGGCATATTGAGTTCCATTCACCTGGTAGTTGTGATATCTGCTCTAGGGTTTCACCTAAGTCTCTTAGCGAGCCCACAGTGTAGAATCAGCACTTTTTAACTAAGCTATTAGATTTATTTTTTCATTGATAATGTGCACAACAATATGTGTAGTCATAATATTGACCAACTACTTATATAATACATTTTCCTTAAGAGGGCTCAGATTTTGAAAGGATTATTCACTAAAGTTTGGATTGTGGGAAAAGTAAGTTGCTCAACTGGAAACAAAGCTGAATTGTTCTGCTATTTAGGCCTTAAATTTTAAATTCACTTTGAATTATCACGATTCTCTGGAAGACAGCCACTAGAAGTCTTTAACCCTACAAAGTAAACAAGGCAGTTTAGTAGAAACTGCAATGTTTTGCATTGCAAGGTTAAAGTGACAGGACCTTTGCACCCATTCCAGCTCATCTCAATGGAGTGATTTGTTATACTTTAATAGTCCTTTAACTAAGTCCTTTAATTATTTTTATATATAAAGTGCCAGCAAATTCTGCAGCACTGTGCAACAGGTGGACTAGCAAACAAAATGTTGAAACAAGACAAGTTGAACGTACAGGAGCAGAAGGTGCTGAGGTCCATGCTTTTATTGAGTTTATTTGCAGAAGGAGTGCTGGCTGGCAACAACCAGAACCTGTAAATAATTAGGTGTTAACAGAGTATCTAACTGGCCCATTAGCCAAATGAGCTATTTTATCAAATATTTATATTATCCAAGAACATGAGAGCCCACTTCAATATCTATTTGTACGGCCTCTTGCTTAGCATATTGCTATCACAAATGTTGCACTTCCCCGTTAGCAATATAAGTTTTGTCCAACATTAGAAGACATTCATTTGTTGAGCATATCAGCTGAAACACTCATCCAATGAATGCCATATAAAAATGAATTTGATCCGAAGTATAAGCAAGTGCAGATTCCACAATAACAATATGAAGAATGTCTGGCTACAGACACCTGAGGAACCCTTGGTTTGTGTCTAACTGGAGTTCATCACCCACCTAATGGGCACACTAACCTGTATTCTTTTCTCGGATGACTTTCTTCTCTTTGTAGTCACATATAACTCCAGCATCTTCATTGTGCCAACAGTTATGTATTCCACTGTCCTGCTTGTTGCATTCTGCCAAGGTGTTTTCGGACCCGCTGCAATCTACGTTATCCAGGTGAATCGGCCCTTGTCCTTCACCGAAATATGCCATTGTTCTTGCTTTGGCAAGACCTCTGAATGAGAAAATCATAATGTCCCCAAAAGATACTGTCAACTTCAGCTTTGCCGTTAAACAAAATATCCCCTACTTTGTCTCATTGTATATTTTATTTGCATTGAAATAGCAGTGAAATTCCAATAAAGTCAATATGAGTATTTTGTGCAGAACTTTTTATGCACCATTCAGAAGTGACAGAGCTCCTTTCAGGCAACTAATAATTATTACACCTTACTACACAGCAATGGAAAAAAGGGAGACTATTCTAGTTTATAGCTAGGTGTGAAGCATGTTGGGGGTTCTGTGTAAAAAAAATAAAAAACAAAACAATTCTGGGACAAAGTTCTAGTAGTGGTCCACTCAGCATGAAAACCATTTGTATATGTTTGCAGCTCTACAATACTTTCAGAACTTTGCTCCATAGTTGCTTTTTATATAAAATAAAATTCTCACTGTTTTGAAAACTTTCAAGAACAATTAGGCAGAAAGAGGCTAAGAAAGTTATAAGAGCTTCCAAATCGAACACAGAAGAGAAAATAGCACAGTCAGTAAAAAAAGGGGGACAAAACATTTTTTAGATACATAAATGAGAAAAGAAAAGTAAAACAAGGATTAGTTAGATTAAAAACAAAAGAAGGAAGGTATGTAGAAGAGGATAAAGGTCTAGCTGACTGCCTCAATGAATATTTTTGTTCTGTATTTACAGATGAAAATGAAGGAAAGGGACCTCAGTTGAGAAAAAGGATAAATGAGTCATTTATTACACGTGAGTTTACAGAGGAAGAGGTTCTATTTCAACTGTCAAAAGTAAAGACAAATAAGTCAATGGGACCTGATGGAATACACCCAAAGCTATTAAAAGAGCTTAGTGGTGTACTAGCAAAACCATTAACAGATTTATTTAACCAATCATTGTTAACAGGAGTAGTCCCAGAAGATTGGAAGTTAGCGAATGTTGTGCCCATTTACAAGAAAGGTAATAGGGAGGAGTCGGGCAACTATAGGCCAGTAAGCCTTACTTCAGTAGTGGGGAAAGTGATGGAAACCATGTTAAAGGATAGGATTGTTGAACATCTAAAAACACATGGATTTCAAGATCAGAGACAACATGGGTTTACTTCAGGGAGATCATGCCAAACTAATCTTATTGATTTTTTTCATTGGGTAACTAAAATTATAGATCAGGGTGGTGCAGTAGACATTGCTTACCTAGATTTCAGTAAGGCTTTTGACACTGTTGCACATAGAAGGCTTATCAATAAACTGAAATCTTTAAGTTTGGATTCCAATATTGTTGAATGGGTAAGGCAGTGGCTGAGTGACAGGCAACAGAGGGTTGTGGTTAATGGAATATATTCGAAGCTTGGACTTGTCACCAGTGGGGTACCTCAGGGATCTGTACTTGGACCCATTCTCTTTAATATTTTTATTAGTGATTTTGCAGAAGGTCTTGATGGTAAGGTATGTCTTTTTGCTGATGATACTAAGATATGTAACAGGGTTGATGTTCTAGGAGGGATAAGCCAAATGGCAAATGATTTAGGTAAACTAGAAAAATGGTCAAAATTGTGGCAACTGACATTTAATGTGGATTAGTGCAAGATAGTGCATCTTGGACGTAAAAACCCAAGGGCAGAGTACAGAATATTTGATAGAGTCCTAACCTCAACAATTGAGGAAAGGGATTTAGGGGTGATTATTTCTGATGACTTAAAGGTAGGCAGACAATGTAATAGAGCAGCAGGAAATGCTAGCAGAATGATTGGTTGTATAGGGAGAGGTATTAGCAGTAGAAAGAGGGAAGTGCTCATGCCATTGTACAGAACACTGGTGAGACCTCACTTGGAGTATTGTACACAGTACTGGAGACCGTATCTTAAGAAGGATATGGATACCTTACAGAGGGTTCAGAGAAGGGCTACTAAACAGGTTCATGGATTGCGGGATAAAACTTACCAGGAAAGGTTAAAGGATCTTAACATGTATAGCTTGGAGGAAAGATGAGACAGGGGGGATAAGATAGAAACATTTAAATATATAAAGGGAATCAACACAGTAAAGGAGGAGACTATATTTAAAAGAAGAAAAACTACCACAACAAGAGGACATAGTCTTAAATTAGAGGGACAAAGGTTTAAAAATAATATCAGGAAGTATTACTTTACTGAGAGGGTAGTGGATGCATGGAATAGCCTTCCAGCTGAAGTGGTAGAGGTTAACACAGTAAAGGAGTTTAAGCATACGTATCCTAACTATAAGATAAGGCTAGGGACTAATGAAAGTATTTAGAAAATTGGGCAGACTAGATGGGCTGAATTGGTTCTTATCTTCCGTCACATTCTATGTTTCTATGTTTCTAATTCTCAAATACCACTTTTAGAACATATATATATATATATATATATATATATATATATATATATATATATATATATAACATGTTGCCATTATATCATTTAATTAAGGATCCAGTCAATAATATTAATCCTTGAGAAAAATGTTATCATTTACTCCTTCTTTATCATTTTGTTGGCAAATATTTATACAAAAAATTGCAATCACAACTCAACAGATGCAGTTTTGCTGTATTTACTCCACCTGTAACCAAGCTGTCTGCACACCACAACTGCATCATTGTCTGTCCAACCATCATCACATACACTGCCCCATTCGTCATTGAGGAAAACCTCCACTCTGCCTTCCTTCGTGTTTTCTCCATCCACCAATCGAACAGGAGGTCCTGGAGATTATTAAATTAGCATTTAGACATAAAAGGCTGTATTTTATTTTAGAACTATTTTATAATTGATCAATGATGTTCTAGGTATGTCATGCAATAAAACTGATGCAAAGACTGAATAAACAGTCTTATTAACCAATCCTGGACAATAGTTAGTATTACCAGTGTTTGGATATTGGCAAAATCAGCTAACTGTATCATCCCTGCTAGTCTCATTCTTACAATGATCCTGAGTGAGAGGGAAATGTATACCAACCAGTCTCCTCAACTCCCCTGAACTTTTTTTGGGGGAGGGAAAGAAGGGTTTGAAGCATTGAGGACACTGGGAAGTCTGTATTCAGGGTTTGAACTGAACAAATTTGAATATTTTCTATGTTTGGTGCACACCCCGTGTCAGATAAATATTATCCCAAATACTGACAGTGAATAATGACATAACTCAATTTAAAGTGTTGCTATGCTCCTTATGAAATACCAAGGGGTGTCTACATTTAATAAATAATATAGGATAGTCGCCATTTATCTTATTGTAAAAACGCAGAAACAAAATGCTTGCCGAACACTGTGGCAGAAATAGACAGCAAAATGTATTGTGAAAATGTTAAAGTGGACCATGTGAGATAAGGAATTTTGTCTCATTTTCAACAATGTGCATTTTTTCATGAAGGTAATGCTAACATTTCTTCGGTTGGAAATATGATATGGGCACATCCCTAATTGGTCGCCAAAAATTTCACAGAGAATTTGAGACATCTGGGGCATGAATAGGTTAATCATATTTTACTATCTTTGTATATTTAACGATTGCCTTCTTATTAGTGCATGAATTTGAAGGTTAGGCAGACAGCTGATTTGGTTTGATTGCAATCTACCTTGTGTTAAAAAGAAACATTAAAGTCTAGTAATACATTAACAAAAATAATTTAAAAAAGAATTCTCTGAGATTCCAGGAACATACTGGAAAGGTAGTAAACAAGATCCCTTAGAGAGTGTTAAAATCCAATGTTTTGCACCGGAAGAAAATGTGCACAGTGGTTAACTTAGAAAACAATAACGCACCACTGACCCACTCTGAAGGTTTCATTACTAGACCTTACCAGTATGAGACAACTCATAGGACAACACGCTTTTAGATAATAAAGCCCTATTGGTCCACATACTCTCAGCCACGCTTCACAGGAGCGCATGGTGTTATTCACATTGAAAGACAATGCTTATAACATGTAAGCCATAACGAGTCTCACAATAACACTAGATACTAAACTAAAACTACAGAGTTTGATTGTTCGGCTTTAATATAAAAATAAGTGCAATGTTTTTTCTGATTTACTGTTTTACTGATAAGTCTTGCAATCTACCATGTAATGGCATGTACATCTTTCTATGCACTGCAAAAATAAAGAATTAAAAAGCCAAAACAAAACGATAACAAGAAAATTACATAAAATAATGTCATGAATAAATATTTTGTTTTAATTAGAATATTACAGACGGCATAATTAAGCATCACCTAAGCAGAATTTTTATATTACCAGTGGGCTCTTCCACGATCTCATTGTTGTCATTTGTACATTTTACTCCAACATCTTCAGAATGAGAACAGTCATGTTGACCCCAGCTACTATGAGAACATTCCAGAATAGTATACTCCAGACCTGTGCAGATGACATCATCCAAAAATATGAAGCCTTCACCTGGGCCAAACTCTCCCTTTGATGCCACAATAGAAGGACCACTGTAAAGATGGTATTTGATACATTTTAGTACAATGTAGACAAGATTACTTATAACACAAGTAAAAGAGCTCAATTATAAATAAAGAATTATACGTGTAAGCAGTTAATAAGGTTTTCAAGGTCAGGAACATGTACAGATTATTTTTCATTTTTCTGGTTGTTTTCAGCAGACTTTTCAATAACTTTTTTTTGGCGAGCAGTTGTTGTATGGAGCTTTCCTCCATTCTGACATACATTTGGAGTTGACCTTCTGTGCCACTGGCCAATGTTCCATCTTTACTGCTACTGTATTCTTCCTCCCCTACCTACTGGTAAGCAGTGTTAATTTTGGCGAATAACAATTTGAGTCAAATTATAGTCTACTAAAAATTTTTACATTTAGTTGACTAAAACTAGACTAAAACTAAAACAATTCAGATACCAAAATTAAGCTAACTAAATCCGGAGTACAAAAGGGGAATAAAATTCGGGTATACCCAGTGGAGTGGAAGCCAAAACCGAGTAAGATAACATTTAACATTGTTTAGGTAGCAGACCATGTTTCCAGTGGAAATTTGAAAAATTTGTTACATACTAACCGTAGTTTACCAAAGAGGTCACTATTAACCATCTTTATTGTTAGGACTCTCTAGGCTCTATTAAAAGCAGAGATCCTTTCATATAACTTTTCCTTCATAGTGAACCATAATTGTTTTTAAGGTGGTGGTATGAGTATAGTGATGTTTGTGGTTTTATACTAGTATCTATTAAAAGTTACATTTTAATTATGAAGAGATTTTCGGTTTTGGCTTCCACTCTACTGGGTACACCAGGAATTATCCCCCTTTTTTACTCCCGACTTAATTTTAGTGTTTGATTCAATAGGAGTTATCCCTCAACAGAAGATATACACGGACCTATAGACAATATATAGATATTTTTTAAACAATTCAGATGACTAAAATACGACTAGAACTAAAATGGATTTTTAGTCAAAAGACTATGACTAAAACTGAATTGAAATTTGCCACCAAAATTGACACTGGTATGTGAGGGAGCCACAGAAGGGCTGTGGAAGGGGCAGAAGAGACAGACCAGGGCTTGGGAGAGAGACACCTAGAGGGCCTGGGAGGAAACAAAGGGACACAGAGGGGCTGGGTAAGGGGCAAAAGAGACAGATAGAGGCTTTCACGTAAAAGTCATGTAAAAAATATCTCCAATAGATTTAGTCAACTAAAATCTACTGGAGATAGGTCGACTAAAACTAGACTAAAACTAAAGCAATTCAGATTACTTTTTAGTCAAAAGACTATCACTAAAAGTAAATTGAAATTTGACGCCAAAATTAACACAGCTGGTAAGTCAGTTTTTATTTTAAAAAATTGGGATTGTCCTTGTGTTCCAAGAGCTAGAAAGTTTACTTGCAGAGCCAAGCTAAGACACTAGGTAGTGCCAGAGAGTTGTGTGTGGATCATAGTAAGTACATAGTCATATATTCTTGAAGTTACAGACACAAAAAATAACTCTAGTAATAATGTTCTCCACTAAATATGGCCTTGATGTAATATTGTTGTACAAGCTTTCCAAATGATCTAATATTTTTGGCTAAACTTTTAAGTTGATTTTTTTGACATTACTAAAATATCAGAAAATATATCATACATATAAACTATGTCAGTATATAAAAAAAAAATTACAATATTACAACATTGAAATATTTTTTCACAATATTAAATAATTGTAAAAGCTTATCTAAAAATATTAAATCATTTGGAAAGCTTATGCAAAAATGTTAAATTGAAGCCTACATCACTAATTTATTTGCTGGAGACATTATTGTGTTGAAGACTATGGTAATATTTTTTATCTGAGCCATCAGATGGCCATGAGCTTACCTAGAGTTATTTTGTATGGTTTTAGGTAGTAGCTAAAGAATAACACTTTAACCCCTTAAGGACCAAACTTCTGGAATAAAAGGAAATCATGACATATCACACAAGTCATGTGTCCTTAAGGGGTTAAAATAGAGGCTAAATCAATAAACGTAATACCATATTATACTCATTAATGGTAATTTATAGTCAGCATTTTTAGCAGCATAATTGAAACTTTGAAACACACCTGAATCCAAGCTGTCTGCAAATCACCTGTGCATTAAGTACTGTCCATCCATCATCACATACGGACCCCCAGTCACCTTTGTAGTATATTTGGACCAGACCTTCACCAGCATTGCTTCCTCCAAATAATCTGACTAAGCCATCTGCGGTCATAATGCAAAATATGCTTGTCATTAGAAACAAGGTAAATTATATTTTTATATTTGCATTAAAATGTTATTAAAATTCTGCTTGAAAAACGTTTCCTCTGTCGGCATCCCAACCACCACTCCACTTCTTTACTTTTGTGGCAGTATTTACCTTAAGCGGGGGCCAGCCAGGGTCCTCAGCTCGAGCCGTGCGTGGCTCAATTTCCTCTTCTCAGCGGGTCACGTGCACTGACCGCAGTGAAAGGTTATATGCCCCGCCTCGCACTAGGAGCGCGGCTGGTGTCACGAGCGTGCGTGGCTCAATCTCCTCTTCTCAGCAGGTCACGTGCACTGACCGCAGTGAAAGGTTATGTGCCCTGCCTCGCACTAGGAGCGCGACTGGTGTCACGAGCGTGCTCTTAAAGGGGCAGTGGGAGTCATAAGTAGGTGCAGGCTCCTATTTGCCCACGTCATTTTGGCGCCCCCCACAAACATACATTTTGGGGGTGTAGGCATCACGTGGGCCAATGAAATGTTAAGTAAGGCTATTTAAACTCCCCTAGCCCTGTCCACTTTGCCCTATCGTGGTTTCTGTTTTCAGTACCCTTTAGTTCTTTCCTTGATCTATTGTGTTTATTCTGGTATTGACCTTGGCTTTGTTCCTGACTGAGTTTATCTTTAACCCTATCCTGTCTTGTTTGCCCTTCTGACTGATTACCATGTACCTGACTCTGGCTGGTTCTCGTTTTCGCTGTCTCTCCATTACCCTGACCTCGGCTCGTGTCTGACTACGCTTTATCTCTGTCTGACGTTTAGTCCGGCCATTCTAATGCCCGGTAATATGTTAAATCCTTATCTTGTCCCTTTTTATCTTACACTATGCGTGTTAGGGTACTACACCATGACAACGTTTTGTCGAACTTCATATACCACATCCACCCAACCCTTTATATTGATCTGTGTAGACATGGTACATGGTAGACACCTTTACTTGCGAAGCTGTATTACAATTATGACAAGGTCTCCTTTGTCTCATTCCCACCACCCACGCACCTACTTTACACCATTTTTGTTATTCTTTTGATTGTTCTTCACATTGTTGTTTCATATTTCATACAGCGCTATGGCATTTTGCTGGCGCTATATAAATAACAAAATAATATTGTTGTTTGTTACTTTAATGGACAATAAAACAGCAACTGACTATACATTGTACATTTACTTGACTTTTTCTTTTGATTCATTACACAATTAACAATATAATCTGGGGGAAAAAACACCTCATTGACAAAATATCATTATATTGATGAGTGGCAGGCCAGGGTGGGAGGGACACAACTTACAGAGTACCAGCCCTGTACTAGCCATCGCCTGCATTACTAAGTAAACCCAAAGAATGCTATTCCGTCTTTGCATGGAATTCCTATCATGCATAGCAGTTCTTTAACCCCTTAAGGACACATAACAGAAATATTCCGTCATGATTCCCTTTTATTTCAGAAGTTGTGTCCATAAGGGGTTAATACTGGGCTCTATTACAATTAATTAAAAAGAACTTGCTATTTATTTTAAGTATGTATTAGTTAGGGTCATGGAGCTGGAGTTTCCATAATGCACATCATGAATCAGTGTACACAAGCATATAGCTATTCCTCAGTATATACAAATGAATCCAGCTAACACTATGGGGCTTAATCACTTTACTTTGAATTTGGGAAACAATACAAGGAATTTTGCACATTTAAAGTCAAGCTGTCAGTGTTTTTTTTTTTTTTTAATTAATTATTTTTTTTGTCCCTTTTATGTAAAGGAAAAAGTAAGGAATATATATATATATATATATATATATATATATATATTCCCTCTGCTCTCATCAAAAAAAGTAATAAACAGCAATATGCCTAGGTGCTAACCCACGCTATCACGCTATGCATAAGAGAGAAATACATCAGCACCACTCAAATTACTTATCAAGCAATATAATGACCCCATGAGATCGAAACACTGATGTATTTGGGCATGTATATATTTGGGCATGTATGGGCATGGTAAAGTTTTGATTAATTTGAAAGTCCTTTGAATAATACTGATTTCTTTTTTTTTTTTTATAACTTTTTCATTATATTTCATATTTTCTGAACAATATAATATTATGTAGTCCCCACTTTTTCTTATGTATAAAAGGTTGGATTTATATATAGCATTTAACACAGTTCAATACATGATTTTAATTATTTTAAATATACTGTTGTAAGGTAACATTTAAAAGCATACACAACAGTAAAATATTAGCTTTAAATGTCTTAATTGACCGAAAGTAGTCATTTTAATAAATGTATGTTTTATACGTTATAAAAATTACATAGAGTAAGACAAATAGAGGATAGTCTCATAGAATTCCATGATCTCAAAAAACATGAGTGCAATTTTTAACGATAGCATTTTATGCAATCCTTGAGCTAATTTTAGGAGACTAGTTACCAGCTTTATTATTTACACCTAGAAAATCCAAAACACATACCAGTAAAGGGATCACAAGAAACTCCGGCATCTTCAATATGGTCACAGTTGTGATGCCCCCATTCGTTCTTCTGGCACAAGTCCAGAGATGACTCATTTCCTAAACACTCAACTTCATCCAGGAGTATGGAACCAGATCCTTTACCATAATGAGCCCAGACCAAAGCTTTTGGCTTGCCACTGAAAATAACCATTCACAAAGTATATGTAGAGAATGTTTACATATCCATGTCCAGACAGTGTGACCGATGAACTTAAATAGGTGATGGTATTTATACAAAAAGAACACTATTTCAAGGTTATTGGAAAAATCTTAACATGAAACTACTTTGCAGATGTAAGAAATATCATTTCAAATGTAAATGTTAAATGAAGACAAAAGTTAGTTGTCAGGGGTCTAGGTAAAAACTTTTTGCATGCAGTCTGAACAACTAAAAGATAAAGCAATTTGTATCTTACTTATTGTGTGTAATCTAAAATAAGTGGAAGACAAGTGTTTCACACTCATTGAAGATTGAGATTCATTGCTGTAGAATTATTAAAGCAACTCTCTAGGCACCATAACCACTAAAGAGTGCAACCAGTAATCTATCAAAGCGTATACTAAATGTTTGACATTTACTTTACTGTGTCGGGTGTCTGAGGTCCTAATGTGAGTTCTAACTTTTGAATGATTAAACCAACTCACCAGGTTTGGTCATTATTCAACTGTTTACGTCTGTTATGACTTGGTATGATAATGCAGAATTTTTGCTTTATTAAACTAACTCAGGCTGAAAGGATGGAAGGTGCCTGACATAGGTAAGTGTAAAATTATATAATATGTTTGACAAATTTGCGGAAGACAGGACTTCTGGCACCACAGTGCAGAAACTGTAGTTTGAGACTTTAAGGGTAAATCCTTACTGGCACCTAAAAGATTATGTCTAATGAGAACTGAGACTAATGAGAGTTATCATAATTTAGGAAGAGTGCATTATTTAGGTTGGCAAGACTGAAATGATTAATTTATGGTTAGAATGCTATTCTGTGATGGGGAAATTGAAAATCCTGGGTGATGCAACTGACTGTAATTGCACCTTTCCCCACAGGCAATACTGACACATACCAACACACTTCTTGGAGCCTTACCAGCGGTCCTCCATTAGGGTTAACTGGCCTCAAAGCACCTGAGCCAGCCATCAATGGGTGCCTGCTAATATTCAGGTGTATGTCACTCTGGTGACTAGAATATTTGGGAATGTAATTTAGGGGTAAGTTATTAGAGGGTAACTTTAGATTGTAGGAATTTTCTCCATCATGTAGTGCTCTTTTATACACCCAGCCACCAACTTCCAGTATACTCATAGGAATTGGCTCCCATCCCGTCAGCCATTTACTCAACATAGCTTAGATATCTTGGCACATGCGCCCAGCATGTTGCTGGTTCCCATTGCATGTTGTTGTAGTCTTCTATCAGGTTCTTGTACTTGCTTGATTTGGCTTTATGTTGCACTCTGTCTGTTTATGTGGTCTTTAATATAGATTAATACTGGTGTGCCCCGAATTCCTATTTGTCTTTACTATGTTCATGTTGTCTTGTCCATGGCAGGACTAGGATAAAATCTGACATGGGGGTTTAAAGGCTGAGCAGCCTAATATGAGGGGGTAAGACTGGTGAAGATGTGTGTTGTGTCATCACCAATGAGACGCGCACTACCCCAAAGTGGTCAGGTGGAGCAGTTCTCTTGTCTGCACCTTTAGCAAGTGCAACCTGCCACTTTCAGTCAGCTCTAGGTAGGTATCAGAGAGTTACTGTACATTCTGATTAGCTATCCAGAGCCTTGTATTTGGTCTACACCCACAGCAAGTGCAGACCACAGGCATACACTGGCTCCCTCGTCCCCACAGTGAAAAACAGGGGTGGCTTGAGAGGGAGCTCTTCCAACTGAGGTCTTTGGGTCAGTTCTCAAGACCACAACCCTTGGTCATCACAGTCCATCAGGCTTTTTCACAGTGGCATCTAGGCCTGGTCTTAATCCTTCACTACACATTGTCTAGTGGTTGGGCACAATGTTGGGACCTATTTATCACTTTATCCAGTAGTTGGCTAATGGTTTTAAAGTACCACTGAAAAAGCTCAGGCTGCTAGGTGAGTAGTGCTAAGGTAGCAGGATGCTGAAGAAGCTTCTGAGGGTTCCAGTGTAGTAGGATTAGGTCTGGATACAAAGTCAGGGGCCGGACAGAGTTTGTCTTCTTACACACAGTGTTTGAGAAACCCTGAATGGTAACCATGCTTTGCAGCCCTCACATTCAGCAATGTGAACAATGATTCTATTTGCATCAGTTGCATACCTACCCACTGCCCACCCATCCCGCTCTTAGACCTTCCAAATTTGGCATGTCTATCTCACATGGTTGCAAACTTTGTTTTGACTTATTTGTTTCTCTCTCTGCAAACTACTAGCTCTGAGCATTGATTTCTGTGGCTTTAATGAAAAAATGAAAAAAGAATACTACCACTAAGTATAAGGAAAAAAATATAAAGAATAATATAACTTACCTTAAACTCAGTTGTCTACAGATAACTTCTGCATCCTTATCATCCCAGTGATCATCGCAAACTGTTCCCCACCTTCCTTGATAAAAAATTTCCACTCGACCTTCAAACCGTTCCTTCCCTCCCACCAGCCTAATCGGGGGTGTCAGACCTGCTCTTAAGAAAAGGAAAATTAATTACAGCAAATAAATAAATACAAATAAAACAGTTCTGGTATTTTAAAGAAAAGTGCAAAAAAATGAATGCACTCTCTTTTGGCTGGAATCCTACGTGGCAAAAGACACGTTTATGGGATGTGTCAATTTGAGATTTTCAGGAGTTCATTTATGAACATGGAGGATTGTAAATGTACAATCAGAAGGCAACGTCCAATGCAGTAGGTTTGAGCACAAATTCATAGGGATGCTTCCAAATTTTCTGGATAAATATGTTTGCAAACATCATAAGTCTATTGGCGCTGACTACTGGTTTGTTCCAAAGAGAGGCACCCCAAAACATTATCGTGTGTTAATTCAAAAGTTCTATTTCATTATGACCTGTGAGGCAGCAAAAAGGTCTCCAATGCAGTAAAAAATACAAAAAAACAACAACACAGCATTTAAAGACTCCTTGAAGTGGCCATGATGCTTAGACAATGTCCCTTTCTGTCATTAACAGAGTTTCATAGTAGCAGCAAAACAAATAAAGAGAGAGTACTGCACACAAATGACAAACATTGTCCTTATTAAGTATGTAAATGAAATTCTTAGTTGGAGTTAAATATTGTATGTATGTGCCAGTTTTATGCGTAATAGTGGCACTGTATTAGAATGTTGTGGACTATTTGGTGGACCCCCCTTGTCACACATGTGTTCTAAAGATTTACCTTCAGGAGGAGAGCAGGTAACTGCAGCAATTGATCCATAGTTGCATTCCTTGTTCAATGCCGGGACGTAACTGCAGTGCAGCAGAGCCTTCTCATCCCCTCTACAGTTTGCTGCTTCCAGGTGGACTGAGTTCATTAGAGAACCAAAACCAATGCTCTTCCTCGCTGTGCCAATTTCACTAAGAAGGAAATGCAAAGTAATGGGTATCAGTATGTTATTTAAAGAAACACTCCAACATCATAGTGTGAACATTTTATTTAGATTAAAGGACCACTATAGTGCCAGGAAAACATACTCGTGTTCCTGGCACTATAGTGCACTGAGGGTGCCCCCACCCTCAGGGTCCCCCTCCCGCCGGGCTCTTTTTCCAGCGCCGGGCGGGGAGCTCTCCTCCTCCTCTCCTCCCTCTTCTCCTCCTCTTCGGCTGAATGCGCATGCGAGGCAGGAGCTGTGTGTGCATCCAGCCAGTCCATAGGAAAGCATCCACAATGCTTTCCTATGGACGCTGGCGTCTTCTCACTGTGAAAATCACAGTGAGAAGCACGCAAGCGCGTCTAGCGGCTGTCAAGAGACAGCCACTAGAGGCTGGATTAACCCTAACATAAACATAGCAGTTTCTCTGAAACTGCAATGTTTATTAAAAAAAAGGGTTAACCCTAGCTGGACCTGGCACCCAGACCACTTCATTAAGCTGAAGTGGTCTGGGTGCCTATAGTGGTCCTTTAATTTCCCACAGTGCCCTACAAAAGCCGATTACCTCTAAACCAGCAGAAAGAGTAGTGACTGTCTTCTCTCTGTAACTCCACTGCGAGAGAGCCTAAGTATCTAAGTATCTCCCAGCCAAGGAAATGTTTCTCATAGAGAAATTCTGAAACCAATGCTTCTCCATGAGAGGTCTCACATCTGTTTTGGTTGAGCATTCAAAGCATGTGAAGAAGAGTATCCTCCCGGCAGCCAATCAGAGTGCAGTCCAAGGACTTTATAAAAGTGACAAATTCTCTAGAAATAAGCACTTTTATAAAGTAAGACAGAAAGGACACTCTGTTAACCCCTAAAGCACTTCATTGTTTGGGTTGTTTCAGTAAAGGTTTGGATTGTTCGTTTAAATTGCAGTTCCAGTATAAAAGAAGTTTGATTGATGTAAACAGTTAGAACAAAACCAGATATAACATTCGGCTTTTGACGTTTTTATGCAGTTCTACTGTAATAAATACTTTCTATGTCTTTTTTCCCTCACATCTATCTACTCTGGATACACAATGAGTGCTAGCAAAGTAACGTTGGTGGTTTGGAGTTCAAAGTCTATCATTTACAACCATGTATGAGGACTTGTTCCAACACGTATAACTGTGCAGCAGGTGTTAGCAAGTATTAGATCTGTTTGTAGATCTCCAGAGGAAAATGTAATGCTGTGGGAGGCTGACAATGATGTTATTCTCTGAGCAGACATTATGGACAGACATATAGTAATAAGAGAATGGATATGTTTCACCAGGAACAGGTACAAACGTAAGAGATCACGGTCCTCGTTCACATCAATGAGAGCTGCATTTTTCCATGGATGTGATCCACAAAGGAGAACATGGAATGACATGACTGAGGCACAGCATTCTTCAATTTCTTTACAGGGAGGCTTTGGAGGCTGTCATGATTATCCACTACAGTGTGAATTGTTAAGGCAAGCTCTAACTGGGTTATTTACTTCAGTGAGAATTCAAAGTGAATTTCAGATTTAAGACCTGCGTAGGCGTACTGATCATATAGCTAATATAGCTATAATATAACTGGGTTAGAGAATAATTCCAGTTCCCATATTTTGAAATATACTTTAAATTTGAAATTCACTTTTAATTCACTTTGATTTATCACTTTAGTAATAAATCCTATAAAAGTGAAATTGAAATTTTAGGCCACAATAGACGAAATGTAAAAATTCCACATCTCATGTTTTCAGTTTTTTAGTTTCAGTTATTTTTGGTTAAAGTGTCATTTTTTCAGATGTGTCCACATTCATTTTGAATTCCTAGCCACTCACACTTTATCTGGCCGTGCATGTCTCCTGAACTTTACCCGGCTGTGCATGTCCCCTGAACTTTACCCGGCTGTGCATGTCCCCTGAACTTTACCCGGCCGTGCATGTCCCCTGAACTTGTCAGTACAGCAGCATTTGTGTTTACAGGAAAGGTTGTTTAATAGAATACTTCATTGCCAAATGACTTTTTATTGTATATGAGCAGATTGGATTAAGCACTAAAACAGCAAGTTCTCCGACAAATAAATAAAATTAATATAACATTGGTTTAGAAAATGTTATTTGTATTCAAACCACTAGAAATATAGTATATATGCTGTTAACTTTTTTGTTTTTGATGGGAGTCTATTTTTCTACTCAGTTTAATAAGTAATTTCTATAATGGAATCCACAAGAATGTGATGGGGAAATATACTCTACAGCCAACTTTAATTAGGACTCATTGATATACTAAACTGTAAACAGAAGTCCAAGACAATAACTGCCTGAAATCTACTAATATGTGAGTGTTCAAACAGGACAGAATAGGCAGAGCATTTGTTCCATACAAATATACCTTGTATTGCATTTATATACCAGCATTTCATGAAATTAGAAAAATCTGATGCTAACCTGATTCCAAGCTGCCTGCAGACCACAGTTGCATCCCAGTCTGTCCAATGATTGGCACATATGGTACCCCAGAGCCCGTTTAGATACAACTCTACTTCACCTTCTTTATTAGACTTACCACGAACCAGTCGAAGAGCACCTATGGGAAAAGATAGATAGTCTTGTTTACTAAAAAATGTTAAGAAATAAAAGACCAGGACCCAAAGAAGCCTTCTGGAAATACAGAGGGAGTTATTGTAAAAGACAGATTAAGTGTATTTGGTTCTGTGTTGCCCCTAACAAATATTGTAGCAGGGTAATTAATATGCGCCATGTATGCATCCCATACCAAAACAGTATATTATATTGTGACTTACAGTTACATAGTCCATTGGTGCAATCAATTTTACTCAATTACAGAACTGGACAAAAATATTTATTCATATATTCATTCATATTCACCAGATTGTTTTTTCCAAATCACAAAAAACTGTTTACATTAAGGGGACACTATAGTCCCTGAAACAACTTCAGCTTAATTGAGCAGTTTTGGTGTAAATATCATATCCCTGAAGTCTCACTGCTCAATTCACTGCCATTTAGGAGTTAAATTGCTTTCTTTATGCAACCCTAGCCACACCTCACTGCATGTGACGTACACATCCTTCCTAAACACCTCCTGTAAAGTGAGATCTAATGTTTACACTTCCTTTATTGCACAGTCCGTTTCATTTAGAATTTCTTATCTCCTGCATTTCTAATAGCTTGATAGACCTTGCAGCAGCCTCTTGTGTGTGAATAAAGTTCACTTTACAGAGCAGGAGATACGAACTTCTAAAGTAAGTTAACATCTAATTGGAAAAATTCATGTAGGCTGTGTCAGTCAAAGCCAGGGTAGGTGAAGCTAGGGTTGCATGGACAGAAACAAAAGTGATTTAATGCCCAAATGGCAGAGAATTGATCGGTGAGACTTCAAAGCCATGATATATATGCACCCAAACTGCTTTATTAAGCTAAAGTTCTAATGACCCATTTGGGGGACAAATGTTCAATATGACACTCATCTCACTGACAATTTGGTCTACCTACTATAAAATCTGAGCATTTCCACTACACAAATTATCACTAATTAGTTCACATACGTTTAGTGGTCAGTGGGCGTTATATTTTTAAAAGCCACATTGATATACAGCATGATTAAAACATGTAAATATCAGGAAAACAGCAGAATATGCCTTACCATGACTGCAATCACAGTGAGCCCAGCTGATTACTCCTGAGGTTTGCCGATAAAAGCACCAGGGAAGAACCCCTCCATCAGGGTTCCTGCAGTAGTTATGGTCCCCCAACGCACGACCTGGGTAGAGCTGAATATAATCAGGAAAATAGGTCCAATTCAGACAATCTGCCCCAGACTCAGTTACAGAGATGGATCCATTGTAATATCCTAAGGTAGTCATCCCATCAGAACACAAACTGTAACCTGCAAACACAAAATACATAGTATTATACACTAAAATGGCAATTGTCAAGAATTAAAAGTAAATTTAACGTGAATTTTAAGTTTTTTGTCCAAAATAGCTGGACTGAAAACATAGCAGGCTTGCAGATGGTTTTTTTTTTTCTAATTTAGCTGCTTTTGGCCTGATAGAGTATGGAAATTAACAGGAATCATTAGAAACATATAATTATATGTATCACAGGATACATGGAAAATATTTTGTCATTCATCTAAACCTAAAACTTGCTATGGGGCTGATTACCCTGGTGGAAACACCTAAGCCTCTTCCTTGCGCTTGAATTCTCAAAGAGTTATAATACAATTTCAAAATTATATCTATGTATCATAACTCCCAAGTGTCCCAGTTTAGGAGGAACAGTCTCTCTGTCTCTCTTTTCTATCCTTGGAGTGTCTGAGTGTATAACAGAGCTCCACAGCAATATGACTTACAGCAATGTGTCTTTAACCCCTTAAGGACCAAACTTCTGGAATAAAAGGGAATCATGACATGTCACACGTGTCATGTGCCCTTAAGGGGTTAAACTATGGTTAGAAATGAGTGTGTTCAAATAAGATCCATTTTTTCATGTGCTATATAACTTATTAGTTGCCTAAATTCTTATTAGTCATTTACTTAAAATGTCTCAGAACAGCCCCACCCCTGGCCACAGCCTCACTCACAACCCTAAAATGTGAGTGTCCCTCAATATATATCCCGCCAAACAGGAGGAGTAGTTTATGTGATGGAGAGATATGGATCAGAATAATTTGGTAATCCGATACTGAAACCAGTGGCATAGTGTGGGTTTCCAGTGCCCAAGGCAAGGCAAACATTGCACCCCCTAACCCAATGGATGTAAGCACGCCCCGAGTACCTTAACAGGCGCCTAGATAGCATCATTTCTCCTTACGTACCAGCCTTGTCTCAGTGATGTGTGTGACACTGATAGTGGCATTGCATAATTTTTTAAACCAATCTCACGCCTAAAGTAATTACATAGTTACATAGGTACATAGCTGAAAAGAGACTTGCGTCCTTAAAGTTCAGCCTTCCTCACATATGTTTTTGCTGTTGATCCAAAAGTGTATGATGTGTATAGTCTATGACAGGGGTGACCAAAAGGTAGATCCCCAGATATTTGAAAACTACAGCTTCCATGATGCTTTGCCATGCTAAAGGCATGCAAAGCATCATAGGAGTTGTAGTTCTGCAACATCTGGGGATCGTCCTTTTGGGTACCCCTGGTCTATGATGTGTGAAATATCAGAAATTCAAAGTGAGTTAAAAGTCAACTGCAAATTTTAGGCAAAAGTAGCCGAACCAGATGCACAGCTGACTTAAAAAACAGCAGTATTATTACTTAGCTCAGTCTGAAACACAATATTCACTGTAGCCAAGTAATTCTACTTCTCCCACAATGACAGTATGTGTTACAACATTAAAAGGGACATTCCCGGTACCCAGTGCAGGAAAAGGAAAAACTATAGATAAATGTCTGCTTACAGTTATAGGTTAATGGTTACAATGCATAAAAAGTATATTTTTAAAGCATGGCATAGCAAATTCATTTTCTCCGTATAATCCTCAGTTGTGAAAGACTTTAGCCATAATTAAATACAAATTGATTTCTCAATTATGTAGACCCAAAGCCTTTCATGCTCAAATTCACATTTCACTCTAATCAGTACTCATTGTTACTGAATTACCTGTAGGCTGTTCACAGTCAGGGAAATTATTCCTTAATAACGTCATAACATTTATTTATTATTCCAGAAATTATGACCTTGATATGCTAACTTTTTGTCGAGCATTTAGTAGCAATATGTTGATTTTTAAGAACATTTTAATTACCCCTATATTTTCAACACTGGCAATACAGATTTGGGGATGGTCTTAACATTTTTACAATCTTTAAACATCATTGTATCTAATGAAACAATGATTCTAAGTCACTTCAGTGGGTTGGGGTGGGTATTAGGAAGGAGATGCATTCAAAAGGATGTGAACTTTAAAACAGATCTGTCTCTTTTTAAAAATTGATTTGCTACATCCGAATCCCACCCCTCTAGACAGCATTGTTGTTTTTTGGTATTTTAAAAATAATGAATGTTTTGAAGTTGTACATAAGAAAACGTAGTCTAGCTCAACATCTTTTGTCAACTTTTATCATTGGATGTTAAGTTCTTACTCGCCCCCTTCTGGCGACATGTGATTTGCGGCAGCGTCTTATAATCAACTGTCTGTTCAGACACTCGATGTACTGGAAAGGCAGAAAATTCTAGATGTCGCCATCTTGGAACATCGAGGAAGAAGACCTAAATGATACCAACACTATGGTAGAAAAGTTAAGCAGCACCTGTCCTTGGGCCACTAAATGTTGTGAATGGGTCATGGGAGTTTGAAGGAGGGATACAGAAGGAAGATTTAATGATAGATCCACTTTAACTGCAATGATTCTAAGCCAAACTTTGCATAACAGTTTGATTTAAAGGGCACTCTAAGTACCATAAAAACTACAGCACAATGTAGTGATTATGGTACTATAAACCTACAAGCATTATCTGGCCTTCTGTCAAACTGCTTTGGAGGTATTTGACAAAAACAAACTGGCCACTCTCTAGCACCTAAAGCCCCATTTGCAGTTGTTCTTATAACGCAGGAATCAAACATCTACATTATCAAGTGTGAATCCATCTAAGCTACAGGGCAGTCATAAGGTAAAAGCACTGATGGGGCACTTTAGTAGTTAAAGGGACACTATAGTCACCTGAACAACTTCAGCTTACTGAGGTTGTTCAGGTGATAACTATAGCTCCCTGCAGCCTTTCTCATGTAAACACTGTATTTTCTGAGAAAATACAGTGTTTACATTGAAAGCTAGGAACACCTCCAGTTGCAGTCACTAAGAGTGTGCCAGAGTGAATTCTGAGTGGATGGAGGCATAATATACCTCCATCCACTCAGATCTGCTGTCAGCAGAGCACAGGGCAGTACTGTGTCTCCTCCCTCTGCATGCAGACACTGAACTTTCCTCATAGAGATTCATTGATTCAATTCATCTTGAGGAGATGCTGATTAGCCAGGGCTGTGTTTGAATCATACTGGCTCTGCCCCTGATCTGCCTCCTTGTCAGTCTCAGCCAATCCTATGGGGGAAGCACTGTGATTGGATCAGGCTATCACTTGTCAGCAGACTGCTTGTTTTTACTGAGTCTAACAGCATGCAGAGTTACAGTGTCTGGCTTGAATACAGTAAGAATTTGCTATATTTATGGAGGCATGAGGGGCCCAAGGGGGCTAGATGGTCATGTTAACACTATAGGGTCAGGAATACATATAGTTGCACTGGTGACTATAGTGTCCCTTTAACAAGTTTGAGAAGTTCCTCTACAAATGTGATAGTTAAAGGCCAAGTGAGTTACCTATTTGGAAGAATACTGCTCATTTTGGTTACATTAGAGTTCACTGATATACCATTCTCGCCAGTCCAGGACTAGACTTTTTTTTTTTGTATTGGCACAAGTGATCAAAAACATTTTAGAGACCTGAGCAAGGACTAACCGAAGGACAAGCTACTGAGTTTCTCTGAGCTTTTGCTCATTCTCAGAGTTCTGTTATTCTCTGTTTTTTTTGTAGTGCATTTGCCTGGGCTCTTCCTAAGCTAAAAGGGTAATCCAGACATGGACCCTGTGCTCAGATGGGTATCAGCTACAACTCGCTGATGACTGGGTTGCAATATCTCTCTTACAAAGAGGACAGTTCAGAACTGCCCTTATTGGCCCTGAGGTTCTAGTTATGCCCCTGCATTCAGTACTGATACGCGATGGGATAGCCTGCAGGACAACATGTTTTTTTTAAGCTCCTGCACATTGGAATGATATTAGCACTTTTCATATGTGAGCATCATAAAACAAGTACAAAACCATACAGATGTCATAAATATATACTTTACCATGCATCATTTTGTATATATTGTATACATTGCTCTTATAGAAAGCAATAAGCAAAGTTAGAGCATTATAATAAATACATTTATTACCAACAGTAGTAATAATGCACAAAAAATAATCATCTCACTAATGATAAGGGATGGATCCAGAGGCCAAATTCACTGCTGAATTTTCTTTTAGATATTATATTTTAAAAAAACTGACATGCATTTGCACAAACACAGACACACACAGACATACATACAGTGATAAATACCTACAGCTACACCCACACATACACAGATTCGTACATACGACCAAATACAAATATCTGCACCCACATACAGACAACCTCACAGACCTATACAACCACACAGAGATACGCAGATTCATATTTACAACACGGCTACAGACATTTGATAGAGTGGTCATGCATTGAGCCCCTGTTGCTAGCCAAGTATAAATGCTCCTGACTTCTTGTGGGGAGCATTGGATGCCCAATGTGTTTGTTAAAGATATGACTACTAAGACGCCAAATCAGTAAATGTAAAAATGAAACACTTTTTATGTTATTTCGATGGATAGAGTTGAAACTAAAGAGGTCAGGAAAAGTTTAGTATCTGTGAAACCAACACGTTCTTACCTGTAGTTTGCAGGGGCTTTTGGCCGTCCAGAGAATTTACAATATTCTAGGAATTCAAAAAGCAGAAAATATAACATGGTTAGAAAGAGAAACTTTAGAAAAAAAACAGATAATAGTAAGATAGTCTGCTACTTTTCAAGGGACATTCGGTAACAACTGCTACAATGATTTCAACCAGCATCTACAGGCAACCACAGTATTCTCTAAATCTTATTCTCACTACTGTAGAACATTTATTTTATTAATTATTATTACGGTATTAATTTTTATATTAGCACCTTAGCATTCAAACAATAAAGTTTACTTATATCAAGGTATTTTATGAGAACACCTTTAGTAAACCTGGATATTTTTCTGTTGATAAAGCGCAAAAGGATAGTGACTCTTAAAAGGGCACTCTAAGCTATAAATGTTTAAAAATTATTTTAATTTATTTATTTATTGGGGGGTGGAGGTTGGTATAGAAAATTTACTCTGACCAAGGGCAGTTTTTTTTTGTTTGTTTTTTTAAATAAATATATTTTAAATAAAGTTCTAAGGGTTAAAAGTGGAGTCCTTCACAAAAGACTCTAAATCAGGGCTGCCCAGTAGGTAGAATCCCAGATATTGTAAAACTACCACTCCCATGATGCTTTGTCATTCTAAATGTATTCTAAAGGCATGCAAAGCATCATGGGAGGTGTAGTTCTACAACATCTGGGGGCTCTACCTATTGTGCAGCTCTGCTCTAAATACAGACAGATGGTGAAATTGAACAATTTACATGTCAATGTAGGTCAACACTTACATGCCTATGAGTTTTAATGTGTAATTAATTGTTCTCTCCTTTGCTTACCTACTCTGTTTCTGGTTTTCAAACACTCTCGGTCATTATCTGAATATTTAGAACCTCCGGAAACTGTTTTTTTTTTAATTGCTTTTATAAGTGTGTTATCTGCTCTGTTGTTGTTTCAATCACTTTATCACACCTTAGTTTTATGTTCTAGTTTAATCAGATAGCTAGATAGATATACTTTTTTTAAAAAAGGGGAACGGCTGCCAAAGGTTTGTTAGTCCAATAAAAAGGAATAAAAACATACAGCATTTTTCTATAGTTTTATTTTGTACATTGCATATGATCTATAGCTCAACATCATTATATGTGGGTGATAAAAACATGTGTCTCGCACTTACAGAAGTTAGTTTGCTTTTAATATGAAGCTGTCTTGTTAGGTCATTTTGTTGAGTGACGTAGCAACAGTGTTTCAGGACACAGAAATTGATACAATTTGGAAATGATACAAAGTCCTCAGGCAGAGGAAAGCATATTTTACAGTAAGAACAATAAGGATGTGGAATTCTCTGCCTAAAGAGGTGGTTTTATCAGAGTCTGTACATATGTTTAAACAGCAATTGGATTAATACTTGCAAAAACATAATATTCAGGGGTATAATTTTTAATTCGTGGGGTAATAGCTTCGTGATCCAAGGAGATATCTGACTGCCATTCTGGGGTCAAGAAGGATTTTTTTGCTAATTTATTGCAAAATTTAAAGTCCTTCAAACTGAGATATTTTTTTTGCCTTGTTTTGGATCGAACAGCAAAAACAAATGTGAGAAAGGCTAAACTTGGATGGATGCATGTCTCTTTTCAGCGGCTTAACAATTTATATATTACACAGACCTTGAGATTATTAACTTGCACACTGATGTTCAGAGACCTGGTGGCATCCAGTAAGCCATATACAGCCCTGTTGTGCTATTTATTACATAGATAATACTATTACATAGATAACACAGAGAACATGTAAGCTCGATTGAGCAGGGTCCTCTTCAACCTATTGTTCCCGTAAGTTTATTTGTAATTGTCCTATTTATAGTTAAATCCCCTCTCATAATATTGTAAAGCGCTACGGAATCTGTTGGCGCTATATAAATGGCAATAATAATAATAATAATAAAATAATAATACAGCCAACACATGTGGAGATTATATAACCATGGCTGAATTTGCCTGTTGACAGAGTAAGCACTGCCTACAGGAGCCAGTCCACAAGGAGTGCCTATCTTGTCAAATATGCTTTTTTTAAATATATATTTTATATAATTTTTTTTTTTATCACACAAGCTCTTTATTTAGAGTGGAAGGTTTTTTCCCCCAGAAGATGACTTGTTGAAGAATTAAATTACCTTCCTGGTACTCACTTTCTTCCCCTAAAGTGAACTGTTTGTATTTTTTTTTTTTTTTTGGGGGGGGGGGGGGGGGGGAGAGTGGGGTGGAGGTATTTACCACTTCTATACTTGATACTGTGTATATTTTGTACACTTTGAACTATTTGTAATGTTCTCAAACCATTCCTGAACATTTCCTTCATTGCTACAGGTCACATTTTCCTGCTGAAAGAGGCCACTGCCAAAGGGCACCATTGAGATGGTGTGGTCTGCAACAATCTCTAGGAAGGTGGTAAGTGTCAAAGTAACATCTACATAAATACCAGGACCCAAGGTTTCCTAGATTTTCAGCCCCATTCCAGCTACAGTAACTCTTCTGTGTGATCAGGCCAGATGAGCTAGTGTTTTCTCCCCACGTGCATGAATGAGCCTTGGGTGACCATGACCCTGATGCCAGTTCACCCACTGTCCTTCCTGGCACCACTTTTAGTAGGTACTAAATACTGCCTACCGGAAACACGCCATAAGACTTGCCATTTCAGAGAAGCTCTGACCCAGTAGTCTAGCCATCACTAGCTGGCTCTTGTCAAAGACTTGTCACTTTTCACGTGTCCATTGTTTCTGCTTCCAACACATGAAATTTAAAAACTGATTGTTCACTTGCTGCTTAATATATCCCACCCCTTCACCGGTGCAATTGCCATTGTAATAATATAATCAATGTTATTCAATTCACATGTCAGTGGTTTTAATCTTTTGGCTGATCAGTATATGTTGCAATTTAAATATAATTCAATGTGATATACTTATTCTGAGCACTTGGAATTATGGGACAGGTGGATACAGTTCTCAAAGAGGAACATGGGAGACTACAGAGACTTCAAAATAGGTTTTCTTTTTCTTTAATTTTTTTTTTTTAACATCCAAAAACTAAATTTTCTTATCCCTTATCTTGTTGTTTTGGAACAGCATTGTATCATGCTTGAAATACGTTTACGTTGTGTCTATAAAGAACATTTGTCTTACACAAACCTTGGAACAGACACAGAAAGAGATAAGGGCAAAAGTTGTTAGGGTACCTCTTCGCATTACAGTTTAGTTTTTAGTACATCCTTTTGCAATAAATCATATATCCCTCTGGCGGATGAAGAGTTAAACTAAGAAATGTTTTCCTTGCATTGTAAATACTATAAATACATCCTAATGAAAACTTGAGCCTATCACGGCGCATTAGATGCTGCATATATACCTTTAAATAACCGGAAAAATAAATTCTATGTATGTAACTATGCAAGTAAGCAGACACTGCTCTGCGTTATGTGTATCTTTTCGTCATGTTACACTTTTTATATTAATTCAGCTAATTTAATGTAAAGAGAAGGAGCTGGTGGAACGTGTATACTAAACAGATCATGTCATTTCTAAATGTGCATCACCTATTCTCATTTTTATATAATAAATAAAACAATGTCACCTTCTCCGGAATAGCGTTGTATTTGGAATTTACAGTTATGTCTAGAAGCAATGAGATGTCACACAAAGTCACCAATCTGATGACAGGGACAAGGAATTTACAAATGCAGATTCCAAAGATAATTCAACAATAGCCCAGCCCAGCCCAGCACATGTGCTTTTATACATCCCCTAAAAACATTGCCACAGTCCAAAAATGATTAACCCTCTCGTCGATTTGCATAAAGTAAGACAGCTCAATCTACGGCAATAAGGCCCCAGCACTGTGTTAGCTTATATGAGACAGCAAGATCGCTTTTTTTCCCCTTTGCTTGTGCAGGCCCTTACATTTGCTATATCTGCATTGCTGTTCCCTATCTTCAATCCATTATTAGGCGCTTAGAAAATACTTATTTACAGGCTGACAGCTTTAATCTAAGCACCATAACCACTTAGGTCACTATTTTTGTTAACCATTTTGCATTGACTTCTGTTACAGGTGCATATTCAAAAATGAGTTTTATTAATACATGTCCATTTCATATAACAATGAAAGAAAGCAAAATATATTAATAATACATACACAAAATTATCAGCTAATTTAACAGGGAATTGTATGGTCATTAGTGGGACAAAGTACAACACACTAGTAATATTGTACAGTCAGTAACTTATTAATAGGAGATATGGCTTTGCAATAAATTCTTACCTGCCAATGTGCAAAATGACAACAGACACTCCAGAAAATGACCAGCACTCCTTGTCTGCCCCCAGTACTCATTTCTGCTAAGCAAGGTGGGGTACAGCTGTGCTCCTGACACTTTATTCTTAATGGGGTCAGCTCCTCATTGAAGTCCTGCTCACAAAGCAGTGGTGGTACAGGCTCAGACAGCACTAGCAATGCTGTGTTACTGCTTTGAAATACACTGTGTCGAATAGCTGCATGCCTGCATCCTTGGTCCTAGCAGAGCTTTAGAATTGTCATCATTGAGAAAGGCACTAGGCAAGTGCAGGCTAGCACTGATTCACTGTGAATACACTGGGCTCTCAGCTGACTTCTCCTCCCACTGATCTACTCTGGGCTTTTATTTCCCAACCAGCTTCTCCACCCTTCTAGTCTCTTTGAGAAATGTACTATCAACCCTCTGTTACCCCACCCTACCATTCTATAGGATATTTTGTTGCTATGTTAACTGAAGCATTGTATTTTATCTTTATTTACATACACTCCCACTTTGTCAATGGTTATTAATTGATGGTGAATATTTCTGAATTACTGCATAGACATTTTGCTAATTGAAGCCAAGTTTCCATTTTTTCTTTTGTTTGTTGTCTTTTTTTTAATGTAGGAATTAAGCAATGTTATTTCTTAATTCATATTTTTTGTTTGTTTATGCAGCCTTTATAATAGTGAATGAGTAGATGATCATGACCACACCCTGTAACATGTATACACAAATACAAGGAGTGGACAGAATATTGATGTAGAATGAAGGATTTTATATGGAGCAGGACACCCCTGTGTTTTCAGAGCTGCTCATGGCTTTCTGATAATCTCTGTATAAATTGGACAGTGATGTTTATAGAATCATTATCATTCTGAAATATAGTACATCATGAGGCATCATATTCTGCACTTGGTAAACTGGGCTTATAATTTGTGGCTGTGTCAGAGCACAATGACATCCAACTGTTAGTCCAATATGAGCAACTGCTGGCAAGAGATATTGCGGGTTTAAAGTATCCTTTGTCTTTCTTCAAATGCAAACCCATCTGGATCAGAAGTTGGGTGATTCAACCGACCATTTCTCTATGCACTTTGCCCATGTTCTGCATTATTTTCTGTGCTCTTGAATACAAGAGGTTTTCCAAACAGCTAAATTCCATAAACTCAGCTGTGTGTCCATCACGTTGTTTAGGTTTTGTTATCAGTGAGCGTCTTCTCTGAACCATTGTTTCTGTTTGCTGATGCAGTTTGTCTATGTGTGTCAAATTGTACCATTATTTCCCAGTAACACAAGATAGAATTCTGTAATTTTGTGATTGATGCACCTATTGTTCGGTCTCTGACAGTTTGTCATTTTTCTGTTTGTGAATTAGTTAACAATTCGTGTATCAAACCGATACACTAGACCTCATCACTATTGACCGACAATAAACCCGATATAACCCTTATTTATATATAATCTTTATGTTATATCAACTGGTAGATTTTGGTCTTAAATCCCCCACTACACTGTGGGTTACATTATACGGTAGGACATAAATGTCATAGTCTGCTCCCAGTGCTGGATTAAGAACCTATTGGGCTTTATGATGAGACTTCTGATGGGCCTAAATACAGACTTTTATAGACTGTAGACCTGTGCATGAATGTGTATCAGTTGGCTTTAACAAATCAAATTTCCTTTAATTTACGTTTGAACGAATAGATCTCTCTTTGATTTTCCTGTGAAGTCATATTCAATAAATAGGACTCCACCGGTAAATCCTAGACTGATTGTATAGTTCGGGCATAGATTAAAAGGAATTTGGTTAGTTCAAAACAGCTGAACTCCAGTTGTGTGCAAAGTTAAGAGACAGAACACACTAAAACAGCCATACCTTCCAAGTGACTTGTATCTGGAGGAGGAGGTTCTTGAAAGGCAAGAATAAATTTTAAGCCTACAAAATCCCAATGTCAGTCTCTCTTTTCCATCTCTCAATACATACTGACCACTTTACAAGCCCCACACTCTCACCTCCTCTCCACTAATCATTTAGTCCACTCCTCTCTTTCCCTTCTTACTATCAGACTAACACTTGCTCCTGGTATGCAACCAAAGACAGAGAAAGTGGTGCATAGCAGAAAAGAGCACATGATGCCACGCAATAACAGGAAAATGTTTATATATTAAGCTCATTGGCCTATTCCATGGGGATGGGTCTGGAGCTACAGCTCTATTAGCCCCTATGCTATTCTGGTTCTGCCTGCTCCAGATGGGTGGGAGTATCACTGCCCACAAGTTGACATGACTAATGTATCCTAACTTCTGAAATGAACTAGCCAACAGAAAGGCTGGGGAGACAGATGGTGTGTGATTATTCCACCACAGCTCTTCTCTTCCCATATGATAAATTAAAGAGGGGCTGAATTAAAGTCAGCAACTGCAAACAAGCAGGTGCTTGTTGGAAATGAACAGACAATAGGAGTACCGCATTGCAAGGCGTGGATTCAAACCATAATATGCAGAATGAATTGCCTAGTGTGGAATCTGAAAATAGCTTCTGCAAATTAAAATAAAAGATTGATGTGTGCCACCATATTCTGTAGGGGAAAAAGGCACCAGACATTTAAATTGTATTGTTTTTAATCTAAAGGTGTCATTGATTGCGATATCCTTTGAGAAATGTATAGCTATCCCAATGGCACTATATGGGTCTCATGAACAAAACTCATATAAAAAAAATTGATGATTTTTACAATAAAAACAATTGACAAATGTATTATATAATACCATACATTCTGCAGAACTTTACTATATATATATATATATATATATATATAATCATATAAATGATTTGGTACAATAATGAGTGGATGAAGTTATTAATACAGAGCGCATAATCTGAGTGGTATCATCCACTAGTTATTTTTAGCCTACATTTTCTTGTGTGGTTGTCAGGACAGTGGTCATGAAAAAAATATATAAATTTTTTTTTACCATAATTGTTATTCGATCTTGGCCCAGCTCAGATATAGTATTATTGAGATCATAAAAGTTCAATCTAGTGTGAAAAGTGATTTCCAGTATGGCACATATATCTAAGGTATTTTAAAAACAGGGCAACTGGTTGATGAATAAACGTTTAGTAACTAATGAAACAGAAATTTAATAAAATACTCAGTCCCTTCAGACTTGATTAGAATTGATTAGTGTTTTGTAAATGTGGAATGTATCAGATGCCCCATGCATGGCAGTTCCTTATCTGTGTTTACAGGTAAAGTATATAAAATATAATTGTTACACACGCAACACAAAACACCTGCATTTAACAACTGTACATGTAGCCCCATGTGATTTTTGGAAGTAAGTTTTCTATATCCAAGCCTGCCATGAGAAGGGGTTTTATAGCAGTAGTGGTTTGGCATTTTCTTTATGTTTGTCCTGCCCACAAGAGTGCTTCTAGAGAGGGTTCTAACAATGTGCTCAGTCCGGATACTCTGGCATCCGATATCATCCACAATACTATACTAATGTTGAAATGACTCAGCCTATACAATTTTCTTGGCTACCAATGGCCCCAAGCCTTACTTTGAGCCTGTATCTGCCAGAGTATGCAACCATTGCTATATATTGAGTAAATGTGCGCAATCAAATTATAGAAATAGAGTTCAAAATAGGTTTCAGATATAAAACCTATTACTTGAAGAATATTGTCTACGTTCTCCACTTTACTCATGTTGGTACTTCTGCAGTATTGGGGTTCACTCATCAAAATGCTTCCAAACCTCTGGCATTTTCCCTTGTCACCATCATTCATGAGGCATCCAATTGTTTTGGATATGTGTGCAACCTTCTTCTGTTTATTGACCATTCTAAGTCAAATTGTCCATACTCATTTTGTCTTCCTATATGTTATTTTACCCATTGTTCTTAAAAGCATAAGTACTTTCTTGATAGTTATCTCCATTATCCTATTGCAGAGAATGACTTTTGTCTTTGGTCCTATTTCACATCGATGGTTAATTATCACATTGCGTTTGTTTGGAATAATGTACAATTACAAGCTATATGTCTTTTATGGCCATAAATAGTCTTTGAATTTGACACATATATCCTGCCACAATGTCAGCTGATTTATGTTATATGTCTGCAAATATGGGCAATCCAAACTCTTAATGAGGCATCGGTCTTAATGATTGCCCAATACAGTATTTTGGATTGATTCTGAAATAATTGTCTTGTCTAAAAATCACTTCTTTTTTTTTCCACAGTGAAATATGCTACATATCTGCTACCAGTCTTGTCATTCAGACTTTCAGTTGTCTGCTATTGCTCTAGTGTTCTGCCAGCTTAGATCCTAGACTACTCCTATGTCTAAGTCCACTGAGCTCATTATAGGTGCAGCGTGTGTATAATGTATTTGAGTTTTGTTATCTGTTTTGTGTGCTCTCCTGTCCTGTTGATGCTTGCTACCAACTAGGTGGATTTGGCTATGGAGCCTGTAAAGCACCCTGTGTTGGTAGCAACAGCTAAATGCAGTACCAGAACAGCAAGGCTTGTTAATTTGCATATTCAGTTACATTTGCATATTGCTAATTCTGCAGGCAGGAGAGATATGTTGTATTAATTATTGCCTTCCCCATCCCTTTATAACTATGCCATAATGTTATTATAAGTATCTGTATGTTGTCTGACATGATTTGGTTATTTGTATTTTATTGAAGTTGTCATAGTAATCTAATGTAATGAGTATATGTGCTAGTCCCAAGTGAAAATAAAGCTGAGCATGTTAGTTCCTTTTAGAGCTGTGTGTTCTGTGTGGATTTTTAGGGATCGCAGTAACAGAGTCTTTGGGCCTGTTGGCTGGCTGCATGATCCCTCTAGCCCGGGGGCAAAAAGAGAGCTAGGCCTGAGAGCTGCAATTGTCTTTATAAAGACAGAAGCTATTACATCTTCCTAGAAAAAGGACTGCAGAGGAACAGGCAGAGGGGACAATACCTGCCTGGAAGGAAAGCTGCAGAGGAATAGGCAGAGGGGATGATACCTGCCTGAAAGGAAAGAGCTCCAGAGGGACCCCAGTCAAGCTCTGGTGACTGGGGCTGAGGCGTTCCTGGGTCCCGGCAAGTGTCTATGAAGCGGACGGGGCGGAGGTACCCGGTTGGAGTACAGGAGCTCTGACACAATTGGTGTCAGAAGTGGGATGGCTTCCTAGTGATTGGGGGACCTCAAAACTACGACTGGTATCCCTCTAGCCCAGGGGGCAAGAAGAGAGCTAGGGCTGAGAGCCGCAAGTGTCTTAATAAAGACAGGAGCTCTATCACTGCAGGCAGAGGTGCATACCAGCCTGGAAGAAGAACTCCACAGGGGATGATACCTGACTGGAAGGAAAGCTGCAGAGAAATAGGCAGAGGGAAGATACCTGCCTGGAAGGAAAGAACTCCAGAAATACCCCAATCAAGCTTCGGTGACTTGGGGCTGAAGCATTCCTGGGTCCCGGCAAGCAGTTAGGAAGCAGATAGTCACATCTACTACTTCACTTCATCTCAAGGTTTCCTCTCCATCTCAGTGTGTCCACTTGCACTCCCTCTTCCTGTATCATAATGTCCTCCTGTTCTCCCCTTAAGCAACTGACCATCCCTTCTCACACTTCATGATGCCAGATCACTGTCCTATCTTGCCTACTTAAATGCTGTGGAAATTGTTAGCCTAAATAATGCACGCAGTAGTAACCACATCTTGCTTTTGGTGGGAGATTTACATAAACTAATCTATCAGTGGGGTATTTGATTAATGATCCGTAAGCCTTATAGTCTTTGTCCAATTTCCCACCTTGCCAATATCCATTGGTAGAGTAGTGTATGATGGTTGCTCCTTATATCAACTACCTGTCCTCTCCACAGTTGTTGCACAGCATTAGCACTCCCAGGCTTGTAGTTTAAGCTTCTTTCTGAACCTACAAGAATCGTGATGGAGTCCAAAATATCATGTACCCAGGATATTTAAAATGACTCCATACTACATCTACAGCAGCCACATACTTTAATTACAAGTACTGATATTCCACCTACCCCTCTATACATCTAAAACCTGGCTGTTTGAGAGCTCTGTTTATACCTATACCTGGGTTCCCTCTACTGGTTCCTGACTAACATAACTTTATTCATAATTGAAAAAGAAGAGAAACATTTTAAAATAATTGCTTTCTGTTTATCAGGCATTTTCCATTCTTGACTCGCTGTTTATTTTGTAACCAGATGATTTACTAACTAGTAACTTTTTATTTTGTATCCATATATAAAAATTACTGCTGTGATTAATTTCTTGTGTCTTCCATTGGAAAGCCAGACTGTCTTCCATGTCTACCTCTTCTGAACGTATATTATTATTATATTGTAGCTATTATTACGTACATACAAGTTTTCTGTATCGAAGGCTAATTTTATTTTACATGTAGATTAACACGGTGAATACTGTTTAAGCAGTGTATATTTCATGTTTAGCACCACATTTGTTTAATGGAGCTTTCAGGCTCGTAGTCTATCTAACGAACAAGAAATCCTGAGCATCAGAAAGAAAGTACATGTTTTAAAAACATCTCTTAATCTTTGCTCTTTAAAATCTGCAAAAATGTATTTCCTTATCTTTGCATATTCTTAAAGGGACACTATAGGAACCCAGACCACTTCATCTCATTTAATTGTATAAAACATCAGCAATCAAATAAATGAAAAACATCACCAATAAATCCCAGTACTTAGTTGTTTTAGAGATTTTTATTATCCTGTTACCTCAGTGTGAGACCTGATTCCTTAAAGGGTTACTCCAAAATTTACATAGAATTCAGTGCTAGGTGAAGCTCTTGTCGCTGATGTTCCTCCTCCATCCGACGTTACTACAGCCCTCACGTGGTCCACTCACAGGCTTCTCATAGGTATGCCCACATACAAAATAAATAGAAATCAATGTTTAGTTGATATAGTCCCAAATGAAAACGTGCATGCTTTTAATTATGCATATTTTCATAGGAGTTGAATCTAAAAACAGCTGCAAAATCTGCAGTTCTCTTGCCTTGTGCCTTTGTAAATCCTCCCCTTCTAACCCCAGCCAAACTGTCTGAGCCTGTCCAATCGTAGACTTTTCTAAGCAGCACAATGAGAAGTCTTTGCAAGGTAGGTGCTCTAAGCAGTTGCTGCCTCTTGAGTTCAGCTCAACTGAGCTGATTTAATCAGGAAGAAACAAAATATTTTATCTGATTGAAAGCCAGGGGCTGTCAGCAGGTAAATTTATAGAAGTGCCAGTTTCTATTGAAAACACCCTCTTCACACATAAACCTTTTCAGCAAGCTAAATTGCTCTAGTGGTCAGTGTCCCTTTAAAATGCACCCCCTCTCCCCACCAACATTTGTTACTCCTGATTCTTTCTGATACTGTGCTACAGCCAGCCACAGCTATTAAAGGGACACTATAGGCACCCAGACCACTTCAGCTCATTGAAGGTGCAGTGTCTGTCCCAGTCCCCCTTAATTCTGCAATGAGACAATCAGTCAGACAACCACTAGAGGCACCTTCTGCTTGCTAGGCGACTTGTGGTGGTAGCCTGCCGCTGTACATCCTCATGCTCTGCGTCAGAGAAATACCCATAGGAAAGCATTAAAGCAAAAAAATAAATTTAAAAAGCCCCTCCCCCAGTCGAGTGACATCAGAGGAGGCAGAGAGCTGCCTCCGTTGACTGTGTTCTGATTATACAGATGTGCTCCTCAATTCCATCTGCAAAAAAAAGTTCTTACATCTATTTGGACAGATGAAAAGCATTGATGGAGTTAACGTACAATAATGGGCCCCCGACAGGTTTACTGTTGAGTGTTATCAGATATGGTAATGGTTGCAATGTTATTAGATTTTAGTGCTGCTTTAAAAGGCTTCCCCCCAAGGACCATGATGGCTTCAGTGTTTTCACGTGGTCATTGTGCAACGACCCGCATATACAGCATTTCAGTATAAACTGCTGCACATACTTGGATATTTTATGTCCTGGCCGCAAGTGTAACTCCACCTATGGCAGCTTTAATTAATTACCCCTTATATCTATATAATGATTATACTTCCTTCCTCGCCACTTGCCTTTATTTATAGTTATTAACATTTCTTCCTTGTGCCAGATCTAAGTACCAGGGCTCAGCCATTTTGTTCTCCTCTGCCCATAATGTCTCCCATTTATCCTTCTGTGGAATTGATCAAGGGTAAATTTGATTGGTAATAGAAGTAGTCCCTCTTTTTCTTTATGTATTTTATAAAAACTGGAGTAGCCAAGAAATGTAAAAAAAAAAGATATTCAGACAGATCACAATATAGAAGCAGATTAGATGGAAGTTTTATTTTTGGTGACAGCCGTTTCATCAGCCCAAAACAAGAGCTACAGTCTTGCTAATGCGAATGGCAGTTCTGCAGCAGCATACATTAAGTAAGACAGCATGAAAGGAGGCTTGATGCCTGGTGAAACTTAAGTAAGAGGCAAATTGTTCAAAACTGGATTGCCCCCCTTCCCAGGGAGTGGTGCAAGAGTAGTTATGGGCTTTGATTTTCAAAGTAATCCATTAAGGATTTAAACTATATCAGGACATTGCAATGTTATGTAAGTGTTTCAGTTCTGTGAATAATTTCAAACTAAAATTATTCACCAAACTTAGCTTTTGTTTAACAGTGGTTTTGAAGAACAATTGCACACATTTTTCTCCATATAAAGACATCATAAATTGCATACTTGAGCCATGTATCATCACATTTTTTTTCAACATTAATTGGCTGTGATAAAAATAAATCAACCATCTGTCTGGTTTTCGCCTTCTTTTAAGGGTAGAAAACAATTGCCACTACTTATGATTTTTAATGAATTGCATAAAATGATCTGTACGACTGGGCTTCATATTTTCTTAAAGGGAACTGACATGTAATCTTTTGCAAATAGCTCCAATTGATATATATATATATTTTAATAAATAAAAATGGAGAGATTAATTTCAGAATGTAAGATAAAATTGCTCATATTCTGTGTGACATCAGTCCTTAATTATTTAATCCCAGAATGTGCAGTTTAGATCATTGTGTAAGGCATCATTACTTAAGTAAAAAGGAATCTCAGCAAATTGGATAAAGCAATCATACGTTTCTAAATAAAGCTTATGAAAAATACTCAGACTGAGTGTTATTCACTAAACTCCCAGTTATGAATAGAAAACTGAATTGACAAATTTAAGCAAAAAAAATAAATAAAAATCTCCAATGGACCTATGTTCCTAGTTTGGATAACGCAGCCTCAATTTTTCAAATTAACCAGAATGCAGTTTTTAGTAAATAAAACCAATTGTGTGAAATGATCATGCATTCCCTCAATGGTAACATAGAAAGAACGCCCAGATTGATAGAACGGAGCAGTGCTCTCCAGATAAATCTGCCAAAAAAGCTGAATAGGAAATATTCTCAGTCATCTACACTTCTAGCTCAGGTAGTTTGGTCTACAATTTGAAATGCAGTTTGATTTTGTAAATAACTCTTCTAGCTTGTATAAGGATGATGTCAATGACTGTCAGATCAATTCTTTACATGTTACTAGCCTGCTGATGAGCAGCAGATTGGATAACGTTCCATAATCTCCCCTTCCTTTTCTAAAGATCTAAAAAGTCAGGTTATGTGAAGTTTGTCTGGTGCAAAAAAGGTATTGCCACAATAAGTGCTGCTTAGTCCTGCTGAATCTTCAATAATATTGGAATGAGGTACAGCAGAGGTATCACATAGAAAAACATGAAAATGCCATATAGTTGAAAAGACGTCAAAGCTTGTGCAGTCTACATAAAGATCTTAAAGGGACACTCCAGGAACCCAGACCACTTCTGCCCATTGGAGTGGTCTGAGTGGCAACTCCCACTACCCTTAACCCTGCAAGTGTAATTATTGCAGTTTTTTATAAACTGCAATAATTACCTTGCAGGGTTATCTCCAACTCTAGAGGGCACTTCCTGCTTCATAGCACAGAAAACCCATACTAGAGCATCGCTGGACGTCCTCACGCTGTGTGAGGACCTCCAGCGTCGCTCAATTCCACATAGAAAAGCATTTTCAATGCTTTCCTATGCAGAGCTCTAATGCGCATGCGCGGCATTGCCGCGCATGCGCATTATGTCTCCACGGCCAGCGGGCGGGATCAGTCTTGCCCACTGGCTGACTTAATGAAGAGGACGAGCGGTGGCGACCCGAAAACCACCGCCAAGGGACATCGGCAGGGGTCTCAGGTAAGTGACTGAAGGGGTTTTCACCCCTTCAGCAACCGAGGATTGGGAGGGAGAGGGGACCCGAGGAAAATGGACTGTTTTCCTGGCACTGGAGAGTCCCTTTAACCTCTTCACTTTGCTGGTGGTTTTTGAAGTCACGAGATCCACGTCTGGTGAACCAAAACAAATCTGTGATGGTCCAACATTCTTTGAAAGCGATCACCGCATCTTTCAGACAACTCTGATATTAACTACACAAATATCCAACAGTGGTTTCGTCTGACCAACACAATATCAACATGCGCAAAGCCAAAATCAAGGTCTAATAAGCATAAAAATGCATGTTTTGGTGATGGTACCTAGTTAGTTCTGCTGAGAGTTAAACTTGATGCAGCTCCACGCAGACCCCTTGTTATAAGTAATACATACAACACTGTAAAAGAGAGCTTGAACAAGGCTCTACAATAAGCCTTTGATATAGAGTGATGGGTTATCTGTTGTCTTCTAATTAAAGGGGCATTAAAGGCACCAAAACAAACTAATACACCAGTACAGGGCTTGATAAATTTGTTTGGAATCTACGAGCCAGTAATTTTCAACAAGAAAATGCAATTCTTAAAGGGACACTATAGCCACCAGAACCAATACAGCTTGGTGTAGTTGTTCTGGTGTCTATAGCCTGTCCCTGCAGGCTTTTCAGTGTTTACATTGCTGCTTAGTAACACCTCTAGTGACAGTCACTCAGTTGGCCACTAGAGATTCCTGGGTCACTGCTGCACTATGTACAGCACCCAGGTTCAGTGTCTCCAAGCTCTGCAAGGAGGCGCTGAATGTTCCTCATAGAGATTAATTAATTTAATGCATCTCTAGGAGTAGATGCGGATTGGTACATTTGCTGCACATGCACAAAATCCTCCCAATGCTTTCCTAAGGGAAATCATTGGCTTAGCTGAGATCATAAATGTTGGTAATCTCAGCCATGGCGAAACTGGCACGGCGTGGGAAAATAGAAAAAAGGGGAGTAAAAACACCTCCCTTAATGCAATCGGAGGGCGCAGATACCTAAACGCTCATACATACTCTTACGCTGACAACAGGCTCGCACACACACTCTAAGACAGGCACACACACATTCTAAGACAAACACAGACACACTCTTGACAGGCTCTCTCTCTCACACACACACATAAAAAACAGGCTCTCTTACACACTTACATTTTTGTTTTAATTGAAACCCACTCAGCCTCCCTGCCTTTGGGAGAGCTGAGTGGGTCTTTCCATGGGGTCCAGGGTCTCGTCCTGTGTGCGAAGGAGTAGTACTCTGCCTGTAGCTCCTCTCTGCTATGTAATGATTCCAGCTCCCGGGATGATTTGACAGTGCGATGGAGAACAGAGCAGTACTGCTCCATTGCACGCTGCCCGCCTTCAATATTCCCTGTGACGGCCTCCGTCAAAGCTCCCGCGGCGTCCACACTAACGAAAGAGCTGGCAAATCCCAGGTGACAGGGTGAAATTTCTAGTCGCAGTGGCTACCTCGGATTTGTTGAGCCCTGCTGTATTTTTCGCATGCTAAAACCTGTAACATGCCAAATACATTTATATTAATAATGGTTTTGCTGAATTCTGCACCATAAGCATGACTCTTTTACCATGCCCCATTCTAACATACTTATTTCTAAGAATAGTACACCATAAAATATGGTGTTGGTATCCAGGAGCTATAAATTGGGAATTAGATAAAGTAATAAAAATTGATGCAAAAATAGAATTCAGATAATCAGCAATAGATAAATAGACAAGTATAATGTTCAGAGTAATATCTAATTTATAGCTCATGGATACCTACACCATCTTTTATGGTGTACTATTCTTATGTTTTATAGGATTTGGTGAATTCCTTAAATTTTTCCAGTTTTAGAGCTAATTTATTTATTGACTGATTATATACATTCTGTAACATTCCCTCTTATTTTTCTGTAATATTAATCTTGTAAATATCAGAATTGTACACTTTATACTTATTTCTAAACTACTGCACAAAGTGCTGTCAGTGCCTGAACTGCATCAAGCTAAGCATCCTGAATTAAAAGAATGCTTGCCTGTCTTACCCCTTTATCTCTCTGTAAATGTCTAATAAACAGTGCTTCAGCTGTCCATTGTGGGTGCAGATCTGCGCAGGGACGTCTAAGTGTAATTTCAGGTTGCAACCAGTACGGATTGCAAAGGGAATTCTGTGTAATAATTATGAATTACATTTGCTCCTCTGTAGTTCTGGGTAGTTGGTTAGTGAGCAAGAGTCTTTGTTTTGGAAAGGAGGCAATGCACATGGAGCCAGATTCAGCACTACAGGAGTAGAAGGGATCTAGCAAACACAAAAAAGTAAAATGTGTGGCTCAGGTATAATGACATTTCAAAATGCTGGTTGGAATTTAAAGACAATTAAAGTATGTGATTCTCATAAATTAAGCTTGTTGAAGTTGCAGCAGGAAATCTCTAGACAAGCTGAGGTGAGAGGAATGCACACTTTAAGGACCACTATAGGCAACCAGAGCACTTCAGCTCAATGAAGTGGTGTGGGTGCCAGGTCCCTCTAGTTTTAACCCCGCAGCAGAAAACAGCAGTTTCAGAGAAAACTGCTATGTTTCACTGAGGGTTAATCCAGCCTCTACTGGCTGTCTCCCTGACAGACACCAGAGGCGCTTCCGCGATTCTCACTGTGAAAATCACAGTAAGAAGAGGCTGGACGTCCATGAGTAATGCTTTTCTATGGGCGGTTTGAATGTGTGTGCGGCTCTTGTCGCGCATGCGGAGCCGACGTCGGCAGGGGGATGAGAGGTCACCAGCGCAGAGGGAGCCCAGTGCTGGAGAAAGGTAAGTGACTGAAGGGGTTTTAACCCCTTCAGCCCAGGAGGAGAAGGGCCCTCAGGGTAGGACCAAATGAGTTTGTTTTCCTGGCACTATAGTGCTCCTTTATTGCATTCCATTCAGCTGCATTGAATGATGTAAATGCCTGTCAATCTATAAACGAATGAATAGACTTATTAGGCACCCCATAGATTGACAGGCATTTGATTTGTTCAAAGTAGCTGAAATGGATTTGTGCACAAGTCTACTAGAGTGTTTCAATAACTACATTGATTATTGCTTCAACTGGTCTCTTCCCGTGCAATCTATATGACATGTCATAGTAAAGGAACACTCCAATCTCTCTGGAGTGTCCTGGCACCCCCTTATTGTAATTAGCCAAACAGCTTTAGAATGGTAAGCCATGTTCTGCTCCCCATCTGAGAAATTAGTTGACATTCTCAGTCAATGAGCTAGCCCTGCAGGGCAAGGCTTAGCTCAGAGAGCCAGAATCGCTCTGTTGGAAGAAGTGGAGGCAGGAAGCAGTGCTCGGCAGACCACAGGGAAGCTCTGACTGAGAGCAATCAGTTAACTCCAGAGCAGGAGCTTCCTGCGCTCGATAAAATATACTTTGTTTATATTTACAAATAGCGGTTTAAATATAAATATGCTTTCATGATATAATCACCAAGCTCAGACAGAAATATAAAACCTCCCATTTTCAAAATTAGTCTGTGTGCTTAATAATATTCACAAACTGCTCTAAAAATAAATAAATAAACAAGCGTGATTTGTTGTTTTTTGTCTGTGTGTTTTTTTTTTTTTTTTACTGAAAGCAAGAGTCTTTTTCATGGTGTTTATTACATGCCTGATATAAGAACAGGCCCTGCTGAAAATAAATGGCAAAAAAATAAAAAAAAAACAGGTCCACTGAAGTTGCAAACACTTATCGTCCCACTTGTGGCAAGCGTCCTTAAACATGGTGATTACTGTTAAAAAGGCGCATTAAATAGTCTTTCTTTAAAGAATGAAAAGTCAACTGAAGCTACAAGTAAAATATCTAGATCTCATGGCTTTTGTTTGGAAACCGCTTCAGTAATTGGTTTAGCTGTTTCGGTGGTAGTCTTCCGGTTTGTAGTTCTTGGTTAAGTCCAGACTTTCTATTAGCCTGCACAAAGATTAAAATAAAAAAGACAAATTATTTGCGGAATAGAACTAAAAAATATTTACTTGCCAAGACTAGTATATGATGCATATTTTAAATATTCTGTTTATCTGAATAGAAAGGTTTGGTAGAACTTTATGCGTTTTAACCCATTTCCTGCACACTATAGATAAGTGGTTCTGAATAGCCAACTATGCCCAGGACCCAGCATTGCCCGTTAATTTGGTTCTTATTGATTAAAACAGAAAGTCAGGCCCCAAGAAACAGCTTACGGAGCAACTTTGCCTTCCCCACCACAATGCCCATAGATATAAATACAATAGTTGGCAGAACCTAAAGAAGTTGTTAACAGTAGATTAAGTGCATGTTATATACAATAGAACGGATCACCAAGTTTATTTTACAACATAACTGGTTATCACGTGAATAGAGATATAGGCAACTACAATGCAACGAAAATGGGTTAAACAGAACATAAAATATCAACTACATAAAGTAAAAAACATATTAACATAGAAGGAAGGGGGTAATGTGTAGAGAATACACCCCCATTGAAAACATGCATTTTTTTTGGGGGGGGGGGAGGCATATCTAAAAACAGCTTGCAAAAGCTGCAAAGCTCTTGTCCGCAGCCTTCCCCAGACCAGACTTTCTGTGGCTGTCCAATCACAGACTTCCAAAGAAGCTCATTGTGAAGCTTTTGCAAGGTGCTCTGAGCTGAGCAACAGTCTTCCATTTGAGTTTAGCCTCACTGAGCTAAACAACCAGGAAGTAACAGGACCTGTTGTCTGATTGCAAGGACAGCAAGGAAATTTAAAAATCTTAATTTATAAAAAAAAAGTGCATATTGAAATTTGCACTTTTTGTAATCTGAAAAAAAAAAAAAAAACCCACACCCTCTTCGCACATAAAATCACTTCAGCAAGCTAAATTGCTTTAGGTGTTTGGAGAATTCCTTTAACTCACAATCGTATCATGTCCCACAGGAATGGAAGGGTCTATATTGTAGGGTTAAGTTGCCTCTAATGCATGGCTTGACAAATGTCCTTGGAATCTCGGAGCCAGCTAAAAAAGTTAGGAACCAGAACCACTACAGCTTAGTTGTTCTGAAATCTATATCCTGCTGCTTTTCAATGTAAACAATGACTTTTCAGACAAAAGGCAGTATTTACATTGCTGCCAAGTACCAGTGACAGTCACTCAGACAGCTTCTAGGGGTGCTTCCTGGGTAACTGCTGTAGTGTGCAGCACCTAACTTAATGCTCTCCATAGGGATGCATTGAATGAATGCATCTCTAGGAGGATAGATTGATTGCGCAGCATGATGTTTTGCAGCACATGCGCAATAGTCTCCCAATGCTTTCCTATGGGGTTTGGCTGAGATAGTCAAGATACTGCAACATGCTTGGGAGAACTAGAGTGGATCAGCTTTCCCTGGCATCCAGTAGCCCCCAGTCGCCGCTCTCAGGCAGCCAGGCACCTCTGGGGCTTAACACGCTCACAAATCCAAGGCTTTGTCAAGCCCTCCTCCCATAATGGCTTTCAATATAACAGCTAGGAAATGCGCATCCGTACAAAAAATAAATGTTTTAATTTTTTTAGTCAAACGGTCTCTGGAGACCATCTGATTGGAGCAGCGCTGAATTTTGTCACACATGCTCACTAACCTCCCAATTATTTCCTATGGAGAAGCATTGGATTGAATGATATCATCAACATTTATGATCTCGGCCAAAGAGGTAGGACGTGGCTGACGAATATATATATATTAATAAAAAAATGAATTGTCAGGAATCCAAAGTAGCATTTTATACCAAAATAGCAGAAGTTAACTATATTTTCACTTCAACTATCATGGCCCAACAATTGAAATTCACATTTTATAAATAATCCAGTTACTCTATAGAAAAGATCCTGGTTAAATATGGCTTTGACTAGAATTTGTGCAGTGCTTTAATTATAATATAAGGAAACCGCTAAAATATGTAATACAGAAGAAATGGTTCCATTAACTTCTTTGAAAACCTTTTCAGCAGTACTGAACACACCAGGACCCACTCATTTCTATAAGGCTGGGCTTTTCAGCCGAGGCAGGCGACTGAGGGAGCTGTAATCTTCGCACTCTGCTCCATCGCACAAGCCTCGTCACTCCGGCCCCGGAACCACAAAACTATGCGCATGGGAACAGAGCAAGAGCAGCTTAAAGAGGACAGAAGCCACACTGGACCCCATAGAAAGGATCCACTCTAGCCCTCCCAAAAGATATAGAGGTTGGGTAGACGTAAATTGAATTAAAACAAATCATTTGTGAGTGTGTGAGACAGTGTTTAGTTTACCGCCCATCTCAGAAAAGACTGTGTTTACACTGAAAAGACTGCATGGACAGGCTATAGGACAGCTCATTGAAGTGGTCTGGGTACACTGTCCCAGTCCTATTTATTCTAACATGCAATTCTTTGAAGAATACAACTATATATGATTATGTTTCTGCTGTGCAAAAAAGACACCGTCACTTTATAGAGAGTAAAATTTAATTTGTACACCGTGTTTCTAAAATAAGTGTTACCTCTGCTTTTTTCACACAGTTAAAGAAAGCACCAATTTCTTTGGAACAAAGAGCATCGTTGAACGTATTCTGTTTCCAACAAGCCATCATTACAGACATTTCAGTTATGCAACTTGCCTCTGCAAAATAAAGAACACTATTTTAACTGTTCTCTAAATTAAAAGAGGGATTGTCTATTTACAAATGCAACCTTTTTTATACATTACATAAACAATTTAAAAATCTATCGGAAGGAAAAAAAAAAATATGCACACCACACCTTACATTAAAAGGGACACTCCAGGCACCTAGACCACTTCTGCCCATTGGAGTGGTCTGGGTGCCAACTCCCACTACCCTTAACCCTGCAAGTGTAATTACAGTTTTCATAAACTGCAATATTTACCTTGCAGGGTTAAGTCCTCCTCTAGTGCCTGTCTACTAGGCTTTGTCAAGCCTAGAGGGCCTACTAGACAGCCACTAGAGGTCACTTCCGGGTTCACAGCACACGAAACGTGTGCTATAATGACGCTGGACGTCCTCATGTTATGTGAGGACCTCCAATGTTGCTGAAATCCCCATAGGAAAGCATTGAATAATGCTTTCCTATGCATGCACATTAAGTCTCCCCCTGCCAGATGACGTCAGCGGGGTAGGAGCATGGGCGGACCCTGATCCAGCGTCGAGAGACATTGGCTGCTGGGTACAGGTAAGTCACTGAAGGGGTTTTAACCCCTTCAGCAACCTGGGATTGGGGGGGGGGAGAAGGGAACCTGCAGTGCCAGGCAAACAGTTTGTTTTCCTGGCACTGCAGAGTCCCTTTAAGAGTGTCTTTTGCTTATACTGATATTTACATCAGTCTGTTCACTGTTTAAAAAGACCACTAAAGTCTTCCAGACCAGTTCATCTCAACAAAATGGCAAAACTTTGTCATTTGCAGAAAGGACAATGTTTACCTTGAAAAGTTAAACATGTCTTTACTCGCAATCATACTGACAGCCACAAGAAGCACTGCAATGTGATGTTGCAAGCAACTTAGTGTGGGGGTTGTATACCCAACACTACATTTCTTTAACACAGTTTAGAGCAGGTTTCCCAAAACTCCGGCCCTCCAGATGTTGCTGAACTACAACTCCCATGATTCTATGAAACAGATAGGCTGAGAATCATGGGAGTTGTAGTTCAGGAACATCTGGAGGGCCGGAGTTTGGGGAAGCCTGCTCTAAACTGTGTTAAAGAAATGTAGTGTATTTTACTCCCTCTGCTCTTCTGGTCCTCTGCCTCCTGCAACATCACATTGAAGTGCCTCTTGTGGGGTTTACAGTGGGGGGGGGAGGGGGCGGCGGGGTCTACAGTGGGGGCGGACAGGGTCTACAGTGGGGGGGGCGGACGGGGTCTACAGTGGGGAGGGGCGGACAGGGTCTATAGTGGGGGCGGACAGGGTCTATAGTGGGGGAGGGGCGGACAGGGTCTATAGTGGGGGGCGGACAGGGTCTATAGTGGGGGGCGGACAGGGTCTATAGTGGGGGGCGGACAGGGTCTATAGTGGGGGCGGACAGGGTCTATAGTGGGGAGGGGCGGACAGGGTCTATAGTGGGGGCGGACAGGGTCTATAGTGGGGGGCGGACAGGGTCTATAGTGGGGGGGCGGACAGGGTCTATAGTGGGGGCGGACAGGGTCTACGGACATAGTGGGGGGCGGACAGGGTCTATAGTGGGGGGCGGAGGGTCTATAGTGGGGGCGGCGGACAGGGTCTATAGTGGGGGAGGGAGGGGGAGGGAGCTGCTGTTTAAACATTACAAACCTGTGTGCTTATGGCAAACTCGGCCATGTTTATAGTTACCCACCTCCCATGTCCGGCTTCCGGTTGGCCACCCTGTCCGCCAGCACCAGGGGCCGGTTAGGTTTCAATACGGGCTTTCCATTCCGCCGACTCAGAAGTTTGGCCACCTTGCTATGGAGAGTGCTACCTTGGGACGCCATGACAGTGAAGGACGTCGCAAAGGACTGTGGGAGGGCAAACGTGAGACACGCCCACCTCCTGCGTCACGCCCAAGATCACGCCCACCGCACGGCGATACGAATTGTGACACGCCCACCATCTGACGTCACAGGCTGTCTGTAGTGCATTCTGTACAGCACGTGGTGTAATATTTAGACATAGAAGCAGAGGGGGTGGGGCTAGCCAGCTGTGTCCTCCCCACTTCCTAGTCCCCCCCTCACCATATATTGGTCACCATGACCCCATATTACTAGAAAGGACTCCTGCTCACTGTTATAAGAAAATAGTTTAATACTTAAAGGACCACTATAGTGCCAGGAAAACATAATCGTCTTCCTGGCACTATAGTGCTCTGAGGGTGCCCCCACCCTCAGGGACCCCCTCCCGCCCGGCTCTGGGGAGAGGAAAGGGATTAAACTTACCATTTCTCCAGCGCCGGGCAAGGAGCTCTCCGCCTTCTCTCCTCCCCTTAGGCTGAATGCGCATGCGCGGCAGGAGCTGCATGCGCATTCAGCCGGTCTCATAGGAAAGCATTTACAATGCTTTCCAATGGACGCTGGCATGCTCTCACTGTGATTTTCACGCAAGCGCCTCTAGCAGCTGTCAATGAGACAGCCACTAGAGGATTTGGAGGCTGGATTAACCCTTTTATAAACATAGTTTCTCTGAAACTGCTATGTTTATAAAAAAATGGGTTAATCTTAGAGGGACCTGGCACCCAGACCACTTCATTAAGCTGAAGTGGTCTGGGTGCCTAGAGTGGTCCTTTAACTTGGGGGACAGAAAAGAGTGAGGCTAAACTAAACGATGACTAGGTGCCACAAACCCCTAGTGTGTGTCGGGTGCAGTGTGTGTGTGCCATATTCGCTGGTCATTTTGCTTTATGTTAAATTAAACGTTCCCTTGCTGCTTAAAGGAGCAGCTTATCTTATTCCAGCGCTCCCTCGCGCTGGTGACCTCTCCTCCCTGTCCAACGTCAGCTCCCCCGTCCGACGTCAGTGGAGCCAAATGCGCATTATTAGGTATTCTCTAGATGGGCGTCAGTCAATGGGTGAGAGTTGGCATGCAACTATTTGGACAGCCCCCCCTCACCCCCCCATGTGACCATCCATCCATCTTGGATCTCTATTATAATAGGTATTTTATTTAACAGCACTAAATGTTGAACAATGAGGGTTTTATCAACGTGGTGTGATGTGTTCTGAAACGTTGTTAAGAATTTTGAAACCAATGGAATACGCAAGTATGTTTCACTGGTGATTACAACATATCCTAACTTTGACCATTTTCCCCAACATTACTCTCTCCAGTTATTGGTATTTTAAACTGCCAGTGTTCTAAACCGTTAGAACAAAATACTGTCTGAAATGTAACTACCTTCACAAATAAGGAATCGGCTCTTCTGTACAGATTGTATGAGCAAAGTCTGCCCTTCGCACATTTACTTTATATCCCAGACTTGATGTTCTCATTAGAACTTAAGGTAAGACTGATACCTAAACATGAGAACTGTCGAATTCAATGTGAATCCAGTCAGTCTAATCTGGTCTTTAAATTAGTCAATGGTGATATTGGTCATATTATTATTATTTATAAAGCGCCAACAAGTTCTGTAGCGCCTTATATTGGGTGGACTAACAGACACGTATTTGTAACCAGACGAGTTGGACACACAGGAACAGAGGGATTGAGGGTCCTGCTCAATGAGCTTACATGCTAGAGGGAGTGGGTTATACTGACACAAAAGGTAAGGGAAGGGTAGAAAGGTAGGTTGCTATTCACTGAGTGTTATTTTGAGAACAGTTGCAGGAGAGGAATCAGAGTGCGTGGAGGTTAAGTGCTCGACAGTTTAATTGATATGCTTTCCTGAAGAAGTAAGTTTTAAAAGATTTTTTGAAGGAGTGGAGACTAGGTAAAAGTCTAACAGAGAGGGGAAGGGAGTTCCATAGGAATGGTGCAGCCCTAGAGAAGTATTTAAGGCAAGCATCAGAGGTAGTAGTACTAACAGAGGTTAGACGTAGGTCTTCGGCAGAGCGTAGGGGCCTAGACGGGACATATTTGTGTATTAGTGAAGATAGATAGGTCGGAGTAGCAATGTGAGATTTGTAAGCAAGTACCAGGATCTTAAATTGAGCCCTATATCTTACGGGAAGCCATTGTAGGGACTGACAGAAGGGGGAGACGTGCGGACGGACGGGAAGAAGATCCTCGCCACCGCATTCATTATACGTAACGGGGCAAGTTAGGAACACGTTAGGAACACGTAAGACCACTGAGAAGTGGATTACAGTAGTCAAGATGAGAGAGGGCAGAGGCATGGACAAGCACCTTAGCCATATCAGGTGTTAAATCGGGATGGATGGGTGCTATGTTTTTGAGATGGAAGCGGCAGGATTTTGCAATTGATTGGACATTAGGGGTGAAAGAGAGGTCAGAATCAAAGAGAACACCTAGGCAGGGAGCCTATGAGGTAGAGCTGATGGTAGCGCCATTGACTTGGAGGCAAACAGATAAGGAAGTAGCAACACTTGAGGAAGGGAAGACCAGAAGCGGTATTTTGGACAGGTTCAGTTTAAGGAGATGAGCAGCCATGCAGTTGGAAATAGCAGAGAGGCAGTCAGAGACACGAGTCAAGAGGGGTGATGAGAAATCAGGGGAGGACAGGTAAATTTGCATGTCATCCGCTTAGAAATTATACTGGAAGCCGAAGGAGCTGATGAGTTTACCAAGGGATACAGTATAGATTGAGAACAATGGGGGACCAAGGACAGACCCTTGGGGAACACCAACAGAGAAGGATTGGGGAGAAGAGGCAGAACCAGAGAAAGAAACACTGAACAAGCACTGGGAGAGTGCGGTATCTCGTAGACCAAGATTACGGAGAATGAGAAGAAACTGTAGATGATCAACATTGTCAAAAGCAGCAGTAAGGTCAAGGAGAAGGGCGGTAGTTGGACAGGGAATTAGGGTCACGGTTGGGCTTTTTTAGAATCGGGGTTACAGCTGCATGTTTGAAGGGTAGAGGAAAAATGCCAGAGGAGAGGGAGAGATTTAGAATTTTAGTGAGAGGTAGAGCAAGAGAAGGAGGCAAAGTGCGGATGAAATACGAGGGAATAGGATCAAGGAAACAGATGATGGGTGGGAGGATTGAAACAGAGCAGAAACCTCTTCTGCTGTAGCGGGTGCAAATGAGCATAGGACAGCGTAGGGAGTGTGGTTGGGGGAAAAAATTGGTAGGAGATGGAGAGAGATGAGAAATCTCTTCCCTGATTGTAGAAATCTTTTTGGTGAAGTGAGTTGCAAAGTTTGTGACTGTCAAGTTGGTAGGGGGAGGAGGTTCAACAGGGCAAAAAAGAGAGTTAAAAGCATGAACTAGGGGTTCGTGGGAGAGTGTGGTTATGAGTGTATTGAAGTAGTTTTCTTTTGCAGAGGAAAGAGCCAGACTATAGGAGCGCAGCACAAATTTATAGTGGAGGAGCATTCAGCGTTTCCATGCAGCATCTCTACACTGTGCAGCACTGGTCTAGGAAGCACCTAGCAGCTATCTGAGCCACTAGAGGTGTTATGAGGAACCAATGTAAACACTGCCTTTTCTATGAAAAGGCAGTGTTTACGTTGAAAATCCTGCAGGGACATACTATAGACACCAGAACAACTACATTAAGCTTTAATTGTTCTGGTGATTATAGTGTCCCTTTAAGTGAACTTGCATTAGAATCAGTCTCGTGTTGATACATACATTTAAAAAAACCAACAACTTACAAATGAAAATGTTTTAAGAATATTTCAGTAAAGCATATTGCTCATTGCTAAGAAACACACTCTGGAAACTGCTAGCTTGGCCTTTAGAAACGTTCTGCAGATCGACTTCCATCACTGGGGCTAGCCAGGGAGAATATCATTCAGCCTGACATGCATGCTACCATTTTGCGAGGTTTGCCCACTTTCATGGGTGTGACCTTTGTCACCACCCCTTCCTGGCTTATCACTGACCCAGATTGAAAAGAAGCTGTATATTTTTGTTGCTGATTAATATGTACTCCACATGCTGTTATACTGCAACTGAAATAAAGGGACAGTAATCATAGCTGGCTTGCTGGCCAAACATCATAGGAATTGAAGTTCTGCAACAACTTAGTTTGCCTTGTGGCCTGATCCCCATTTGTTGGTTATCCTTCTCCCCACCCAAGAGGTGCATCTGGGAGGTATGAGATCAGGATGTGTCACCATTAATGATTGAAGACCTCAACCTGCAGGATCTTGCAGAGAGCGCACTCCCTGATGTCCCAACCTGGGAACTAAATCATAAAGGTGGGACAGGACCCCAAAATCAGGACTGTCCTACAGAAATCGGGACAATTGGCGGGCCTGCAGATACAGCTAGAGTGACAACAAATCATGAAGCTAATGTTGGCCTCTCTGCTGAAACTAATATAATCCCTTGAACTCCAGACTATGTTTGTAGAGTTAATCTGAGAGAATTTAAAATTGCATTAAATAGAACATGAACTCATCATGTAGGGCTGATGGGGTTTTTGCAGGTATGGTCCTACTGCAATGTCTTCTGACAGGTTAAGTTTGAGTTATATTCTAATATAAAAGCTAGATTTAGTATTTATTTAGATGTAATTAAGAGATTAATTGCTGCTGTACTAAGAAACTCTTGGTTTGATATGAAATCAGTACAGAGATTCCCTACACAATACAGTACACTGTATGACATCATAATGCCAACAATTATTCAATTATATGAAACTGTGGGTTGTCATGGCAACATCAATGTACTCAACACAACTTTAGCTGTCTTGTTTACAGCTGGGGTCAACATCTACAGGAGTCCACTTTAAAACCACGCTGGATGAAATGTCTGAAGCCACCAGAGAAAGCCAAATGGAGCCTGGAGGAGCTATTTTAAAAATGGGCTAATATGCAAGAGAGAATGACTACTCAGAAAGCAGGGAAAAAAGGTAAGGAAAGTGCATTGTGGGTATTCCCAACTGTTTTAATTAATAAAACAATGCAGACTTTCCTTACTGCTTATCATTTGGGAAATATATACATA